ATGAGTGTAGTCGTTGCTGAATGTGCGTGTATGGTCTCGCTTTTGGAGCGTCATGCCTTCTTCATATATTCAAACACATGAACAGAAATAGACCACTCACCTTGACCAGCCCACAATGACAGACGGATTGACTCCATGCCGACGAAGAAATAGTACTGTTCGGATGCCTGACGCCTCCCTCAGGTCTAAGATTGCCAGCCTGTTCTGAGGCCGAGCGGCGTAAGGCACATTCGATGTACTTTATCTTTGGATCAGAACAACGTACCGGTTCTACGGCACGGAGATTCGTATGGGAGCTGCATAGGACAACTGAATGATAATTTTGTGTTGAGCAAGTTCCGTCTCGATCAACGTGAGCCATGCTCACGGGTTAAAGAGAGGTCCCGCATCTTGAAGCCAAATTGTCCAGATCATGTGAATTCGATGAGATGGAGAAACGATCTGCATAGCGATTTCGCTTAGGCGTATGTTCGCCTCGCCGTCCAGTATCAGGTATTTGCGTTCGCTGATGTCAGCGACACATGTCGGGTAACGCACATGAATAGTATCAGCGTCTCGCGAAGGCAGAACATGTTGGAACCTGGGTGTTGTTTCAACTCCATGGATGAGGGCTGTAATGATTACGTGAGTGTTTGCGATGGTCTTAAATCGCAATGCTCTATTCTTCTCTTTCGTACTTCGTGCCGCGTAGCGATGCTGCGTTGCACGCGTCGCACATATGTCGCTAGTCGTTAGGTCTCTCGATGAATGGCTCCACGCTGATAATGTAAGCTGGAGGCTGCCGTGAGCCCGATCGAGGTTGCCGTAAGGAAGGCAGAGCCGGCATCGTGCCCTCTGAAGCAAGTGAACACGTGTACTTCTCGCGTCACATCACTCCGTGATCTTTCAAAGACATGCCTAGGTCGCTGCGACAGAGATGAACGCGATGATAACGCGTCGAAAACGCGTCGGTAGCTGAACGTGTCGAGAGTGTAGGAGCGCGACCCGACGCGGCTCTGCGGAAGATCGATGATGGCGGGGAATTAGCGCAACAATGCGGAGCCTACGCCTGCCGGCAGAGCCACATTTATGAAAAGCTCTGCCAACGGATGACATCGGCGATCTAGAACTCGGCATGGCATCTCAACATGTTATCGGAGATATATCCTTCTGCATCAGCCACTACTTCGCGGGTAGAACAGGAATTACTTGACGCCTGCTACCACATACCTTGATCGCTCTTAATCACCGCAACGAACAACTTTCAAGATGGCGACAGACGATATCCAGATCCCGCAACACGTGGGCCTCTCAGAAGCACCCCGCGATGTCGAAGCCATCAAGAAGCAAGAAAAGGCCGCTCTGTTGCCACACTGGGATTCCGGCATCGCGTTCAAGCTCGGCTACAACCTCCGCACACGCCTGCTTACCTTTGAGCGACCAGCTGTCGTAGATATCTCTACCATCAGCACGCCAGGTCATGTGCTTTTCCACGCCGTGAGTACCATGATCGATGCGTATAGTTGCAGTGCTGATATGAAGCAGGTAACCCACTCCGGCACAGCCCTAGACAACGACTTCTGGGTCAGCCGTAAACGCGCAGCCGTCATCCGCTTCAACGCAAGCACATGGCGTCTGCAGAACCAATTTGAGGGCGACGAGGAGAAGTTCAAGGCTAAGATGGGATTAGGCGAGACGGCGAAAGATTACGCGATCCATGGTGGCGGTGTGCCGATTTACATCAAGAACTGTGATGGGCCGGTTGCGGTGGTCGTTGTAAGTGGGTTGAAGCAATGGGATGACCATCAGGTTGTGATTGAGGAGTTGGGTAAGCTTTGTGAGGAGATGGAGAAGGGTACTGCGGGTACGCCGATCTAGGGGGGAGAGGGGTATATAAGTAGAGCTGATTCGGACCGAGTCTTCCTTTTATCATCTACTCAAATTTACCATTTTCGAAAATGAAGGGCCAGAATCCATGGGTGCAAAAAAGATAAATCCGAAAGCGATATGGCTGTCGTGTCCTGCCGAGGACTCGTTCTCTCCAAAATTCGTTCTTCGCACGATACATGTGCGGCGTCGGCCTTCCAGAGGACTAAATCGTCGAAACCAAAGACCTGGGTTTCAATTTCGATGTTACAATTCGCTGATGCAAAAGATCCTTCCATAATCCTTCAAAAAGGTCTTTTTTCCCAATTCATGTGGCATTCCCAACTTCCAAAGTCTCCGAAACCCCATGCTAGTCAAGGCATGACTTCGCCCCTTTGCCTCTGCCAAAAGTTACTCTCCTCCCCCTCCGTACGAGTGTCGATAAATCCGTCTTTCTTCAAGCCTTCCAAATTTTACCATCTGCAACACATGCGAGCACTTGGTCTTTCCGAAAACTACTCTGCCACTTACTATGTCTTTTGGCGTCGAAGAAATCTGCGCATTCTTCAAAACAACCCACTACTGATCTATGTCTCTCGGCGTATCCATCAAAACTAGCGCATGATAGCGCCTGCCGAGATATAAAAGTTCGCCCTGGCGCCCGGCTTCCTTCCCTCTATCATCCACTCCTTTGCACAAGGATACCAAAATATACCGGGAAGAAGCCGATGGACTTCCTGTGCTTCTTTTCCAAAAACCTTGCAAACTCCCGTCATGTGCAGATTTCTCAGCTCTTTTCCGGCTATTCCAGAGCTTCGTCGAGATAAATACTTCGTTTCATCATCTACTCAAACGGCTGATCTTGGAAATCAGTCTTTGGAAAAATGCATGGATACCAAATCCTTGAAAGCGTCAGGCAATGTGTTCGCTGTCTCCCGCGGCGGTCTCAGCAATCAAAACAGAGTACTAGAAAGTTTATGTGCTGCGCTGGTAGTTACGAAAACAACAAACCCAGATTAATACGTCGCTGCCAATCATGGTATGAAGCTATCTACTATCTCAGACCCTCGTCAAGGTCCGCAGAATCCGAAAACTGGTTTTATATGACCGATGTTCCCTGCCAGCAGGTTTCTAACCCTTTTTGCTACTCTTGCATGGCCGTCCGTTCCTGGTCTTCTTCCACTCCCATCTCCCTCGCCATGAGCGTCGGGGCATTCACATCTCTCTCTGCTCTGTTCAAAACCTAGAAGCATGTGGAAAATGCAAATGCGTGGTCTTTCCAAAAGAATGAACAAGCTGGACATGACTTTTGTCGTCGGCGACTTGCTCAATACCAAAAAACGACGACTGCTCCCTGATGTCTCTCGGCGCTTCCCTGTGATTGTCAATGCCGCTTCAACACGTGATACAGAGACGCATAAATACCTCTCACGACTCTCCTCCTTCTCTACTTCGTTATCCACTCACTCAGGTTTGAGTGTTCAAAAACGCCCCAGTACACGACTATGGTTGTTCCTGTTCTTTTCCAAAATATCAACCCCAAGAACGCATGGCTGCTTTCCCGCACTCCGCGCGTTGTTTCAAAACCTCGTTCATTCCACCGCACTCCAAAAAGACGGTACATTCCCCCATGATCGGGAAACGCCGCCGAACAGAACGATGTGGCCTCCAAAACTTGCTCTATGGGCGGTTAGTGATCCAGTCTACGTTTTGAGATCTCAATAAAATCGATATTCAAGCTTCCGATGTGGGTGACTTTGGCGTTGGGATAGAAATTTCATTCTGCACACGAATCTTACTCTCAACCTCATCAGTGTTGCTCAAAACACTACTCAAAGATTCACATGAAGTGTTCATGACTCTGCCGAGCTTGTGAGATTTGATATGCTACACCACGTTCTTCTCGTGCAATTGAGTTCGTGCGACAAACCGGAGTGCAGAGAATGTTTGTACTGTTAACGGGCGATGTGCTTGATGTAAGATTATGCTGTATGCTGCAGAACACATGGAAGCTGCATTGGAGGCTTTTGGAGTATGGAAGACTGTTGTTTCGTATCATAGCCACAAACACATCGCCGAGATCGATAGCTGAACTTTTCCGAGAGGCAGAACCATGGGAACATACTCCACGCGTTTTCAGAACGAGACATGGCGGGTTGCTCGAACTCTTTCGGAAACATAGCCTTTGCTCAATGGTCCTTTTTGATCAATTTAAGAATAAAGATCTTGGATGTTAGGAAAGAAAGATCAAGACCAGAGACGGCTTATATAGCCATCCACAGTCGCGAGCTTCCAAAGTCGCATGGCCAGATCGCCATAGCATTTCAGCAGTTCTCGACTCAAACATTCGGATAGCATATACCATGTAGAATATGGAAAGATATTTTGATGATGAGGTATGAGCAGCGTGGTACCGAAAGGCGGAGCCATAGTCGGTAACTTCCTTAGTTTTTGCGGAGAACATAACATGAAGAAGTTCCGTTTTTGAAGTCATCATCGTCCACAATTTCTGCTTTTAGAAAAGAGGAGAGAAAGTTTGAGTGTATGAGAATAAGAGAGAAGAGTCGGTTGTAAGATGCCTTTTATGCCATGCACAGTAGCAAGCTTCCAGCATGACGTATGACGCGCCGTAAGAATGAATGCGAGGCCAGTGTGAGATATCGAAACGCTATATCCCGTGTACAGGATCGCAGTGGTTTTGGTAGTAAAGTAAGAAGCTGATGGGACGAGCAGGCAGAGCCATCATTGGGAGTTTTTGAAATTTTGGAAGAGAACATGGACGAGGAGTCGGGAGATTTTGGAATCATGGGTCAGTCTCATCCTCGTTTTGTAAAAGAAGAGGAAATTCTGGATGTTAGGAAAGGGAAGAGAAGTGAGCTCGAAAGACGTCTTTTATACCCTCCACAATACCCGCAAGGCCCATCAAAGTATCCTCGATAAAGCGATGTGTTCATATATCATATTCGATGCTTGCATAATCCATCATAATCCACCCCCACCCACATCCCATCCAAAACAAAGCACACACAAACTTTTCGGTCCTGACCAAGGGTGCCATCTTCTCCAAGACATGGTCGGGGATCAAGCAACTCGTAGGGTATACGCGAAAAGATCAAAACGCCAAAACCGACAACCCACACCTAGGCATACCAAATCTAACCCTCCTCAGTGTCCATCGTGTCGCGACCTCTGCCTCTGCCTCCACCGCGTCCTCCTCTCGAGCCACCTCGACCACCGCGCCCACCCCTGCTACCTCTTTGCTCGTGGTAGTCTTTCATTTCCCTGACAGCTATCCTCTGCGCATCACCAACGCGCTCAGCGTAGACCATCGCTTCATCCTTGTTGATGGCCTCCTCTGGGATCTTCTTACCCAGCGCATTCTCAATCCTTAGCCAGATCTCAAGATCGTACTGTGTAACGAACGACACGGCCTTACCCGACTTTCCCGCTCTTGCAGTTCGACCAACACGATGGACGTAAGTCTGAGAGTCGCTTGGCAGATCGAAGTTGACGACGAGGTCAACGGCGGGGATATCGAGACCGCGGGCTGCTACGTCGGTGGCAACGAGGATGTCGCGACTCTTGGATTTGAATTTGTTGAGAGCACCCAGACGGGCGGACTGGCCTAGTTGGCCGTGTAGTGGGATGGCGCCGAAGCCGAGGGTGCGGAGGAGGATGGAGATGCGTTGGGTTTCGTTGACTGTGCGGGTGAAGATGATGGTGGGGTGGCCGATGTTGTCGTTGAGGAGGTGGATGAGGTAGAGGTCCTTCCATTTGAAGGGGAGGAAGATGTAGCGTTGTAGTAGGGTCGAGACAACTTGATGGGAAGAGCTGCTGATGCTCACACGGACTGGGTTTTGCAGGGCGGCGCGTTGAAGACTCTCGACCTTGGAGGACATGGTCGCAGAGAAGAGGTATGTGTGGCGTCCTTCCCGAGGGAGTACCTTCAAAATCTTGTCTAGTACGGGGCCGAAATCGAGGTCGAGCAGGCGATCGGCTTCGTCGAGGACCATGTATTTCAGATGCTTCAGACTGAAGCCTTTCGTGTTTTCCAGATCTACGCGGATGTGGTCAGTACGGATGTCACGTATAGTTCTTATATGTGCGTGACTCACGATCAAGCAGACGTCCAGGTGTTGCCACTACGATGTGAGGCTTCTTGGACAGCGAGATGGCCTGTGGAACCATGTCCATTCCTCCTACCAACGTCGCGCACTTGACGTTGATGATGCTACCCAAAGCATCCACCTGTTGTGCGATCTGGTACGCCAACTCTCGTGTCGGGGCCAGAATCAGGCCGAACAAAGGTTGTGGCTTCTCGAGCAGCGACTGAAGGATAGGTAGGACGAATGCCGCCGTCTTTCCAGAACCTGTCTCGGCCAATCCGATCACATCCCTACCCTGAAGAGCTAGAGGTATAGCTTGTTCCTGGATAGGCGTCGGGTGTACGTATTTCAAGTTTTCGACTGCATCGCAGAGCTCTTCGCGCACGCCTAGATCGGCGAACGTCTTCTTCGGTTCGTTCGCGGCGGGTTGCGCTTCTGCGCTCGTTGCGTCGGCGGTGGTAGAGGGCCCTGCTTCGTCTTTTGAACTGCTGCCGCCTACTATATCTTGTGCTTCTTCGGCATCCGTGGAGTCTCTCTCTTCGGCGTCGTCATCGCCGGACTCGGATTCCGGTGGTGGTACAGGCTTCTTATGGACTTTCTTCGCAGGTGCGTTCGATGGTCGCACCTTCTTCGACGACGCACCGGCGGCAGTGGCTGCGTCGGCTTGAAGCTTTCTTTTCGTGACTCCAGGCATGTTGTCGTTGTGATTGTTGAGTCTGGAAAAGTTGTGCGACAGAATCACGGTACCGCGGTTCCCAACCAAAGAAACCGCGAAATCTTGGCGGACCCACCTAAAAGTTCGAAAGCCGGCGAGCTCTAGTTTGCGACTGCATGCGACGAACTCGTTCACTCAACAACACCACAACGCTCTCCTCTGGCTTACTCGAGTAGAGATCACGATCGCAGCGCAAGAATCATACGCTTAGTCATCTGCAATACCCGTCAATACTTCGACTTGGTCAGAGACAACTGAGTTTTCGCAATGGCTCGTGGAAAAGGAACCGCGAGGAAGAAGCAGTCGGTGCGCGACAAGGAGCTTTCCAAGAAGCCGATAGCAGGGACACCGAAATCTATGGTCATTCGTATCGGCGCGCAAGAGTGAGTTTGATCCAATCGAGTAACATCCGACTCGTTTGCTAACAACATTTAGAGTAGGAAGATCTGTCTCAGACCTCGTGAACGATGTGCGCCACTGCCTAGAGCCCGATACTGCTATCCGGCTGAAGGAGCGGAGGGCGAATAAGCTCAAGGTAAGGCATACATAGTTACCGGCATGATCTGAGCTAACAGCCTCAAAGGACTTCCTGGTCATGTGCGGACCGCTTGGTGTCAGCCATCTTCTCCTCTTCTCCCGCTCAGAAGTCGGCAACGTCAACCTCAGACTATGCCGCGTCCCCCGCGGACCTACCCTCCATTTCCGAGTCGAAAACTACAGTCTCTGCAAAGACATTCTCAAGTCAATGAGACGCCCACGGGCTGGCGCAAACGACTTCCTAGTTGCGCCTCTGCTTGTCATGAACAACTTCCTTACCAGCGATGCGGAAAGAGAAAGACTCGGCGACAAGGCACCTCCTAAGCATCTCGAGAAGCTCGTGACGGACATGTTCCAGGGCTTGTTCCCGCCCATTCAACCACACACTACCCCTCTACACTCGATCAAGCGCGTCCTCCTTCTCAACCGTGAGCCTCCCTCGGAAGAGAATGGCTCCGTCACAATCAGTCTGCGACACTACGCGATTACAACGAAGGTCACAGGCGTACCGAAAGCCATCCGCCGGTTATACGCAGCTGAGAAGCTCATTGGCAGCAAGGAGAAGAAGAAGAGCGCACTACCCAACCTAGGCAAGCTCGAGGTAAGCAGTAACTCTCCAGAATGCTTAAAGAACATCCACTAACCCCGTCTCCAGGACGTGGCAGACTACATGCTCGACCCCTCAGCCGCGGGCTACACATCCGCCTCCGACACCGAACAAGACACGGACGCCGAAGTCGAAGTCGCGCAACCCGTCCGCCAAAAAGTCCTCTCCCGCAAAGAAAAAGAAAAGCTAAAAGCCGGCGACGAAACCTCGCACGCCCGCGCTCGCGGCTCAAAACCCCGCGTCGAGAAACGCGCCGTCAAGCTCGTCGAACTAGGCCCCCGCATGAAGCTGCGCCTTACAAAAGTCGAAGAGGACGTCTGCGGCGGCAAGATCATGTGGCATGAGTACATCAAGAAGAGCAAGAAAGAGGAGCAAGAGTTGGAGAAGAAGTGGACACAGAGGAATAAGGAGAAGGAGGAGAGGAGACGTGTTCAAAAGGAGAATGTGGAGAAGAAGCGCAAGGAGAGGGCTGCTGCTAGGGGGGAGACTGGGGAGGGTGAGGGCGAAGGTGAGGAGGATGAGGACGAGGAGATGGATGATGATCTCTTGGATGCGTATGATATGGATGATGATGTTTGGCAGGATGCTGCTGATGCTGGGGAGGAAGAAGATGAAGATGAGGACGAGGAGATGGAGGATGAGTGATGTGGTCTGATAGAAAAGTCTTAATGATACCCTGAATGTTCAACGCTTCATCCCAAGTACAACCAAACTGTCCAAAGGCACATGCAATACAACCGGGTATCAAAACAGCATTTCCCCATAAGCGACTTCATCCCTTCATCTTCTTAATCAAAACCCTCTCCCCATCCGCACTCAATTCCCACCCCACACCCTCCTGCACCAACTCCTCCCAGCTCCTCTCCGCACACCTCTCCACAAACGCCCTATCCGCACTCAAATACGCCCTTCCCAAACACTTGAGCGCATGCACCCTCACCCCTCCATCCGCCCACTCCATAACCCTCCTCTGATACCCATCCACACTCCTTCTCACCCGCCAAAACCCCACGTAATCATCTGCGACCAGACACCTCAACACTTTCTCCACCCTCCAATCTTTATATCCATACCGTAGTTTCGTGGCGCGCGCGCCCGAGTGATCGGATTGCCGACATGCTTGGTCGAGGATCAACAGGCCGACGACTTCGTGTAAGGTAGATGGGGATAATGGGTTCACGGGATGGATTTTCCCGAGGAGAGAGAGCAGAGAAGGGAGGTAGGAAGACCAGTCGTGGCAGAGGATGCTGACGTGGATGGCGAAGGTGTAGGCGCGCAGGGCGAAGGCGTCGGTGCGGGAGGACGCGGTTATGGCTTCTCGTAGCTTGCGCAGGGAGGCGAGGACGGTGGAGAGTTCTTGGATGGAGGGCGTGAAGGCTTTTTGGGGGATGGGGTTGTGTGGTGTGTTTGTGGATGTTGAGGCGAGGGGTGGGCGGGTTGTGGGTTGTTGGCGGGCTTCTGGGGGTGCGTGTTTAGAGAGGGAGAGCGAGGAGAAGGAGGATGTGAGTTTCGAGTTGGCGGTGGGCGCTGTCGTCGTCGTCTTGGTCGTCGTGGTTGTGTCGGGAGGCGGGATGCTGACGGAGATGAAGAGGCGGTCTAGTTCGTCGCGGTTGAGGGCGCAGAGTTTCATGTAGCGTTCTATTATGCGGTTGAAGTAGATTTCTTGTGTTTTGAAGTCGTTCAGCCTACATCCTCGTTAGCCATTGTGAGCGGACGTATGGGGCGAAAGGGATGTACCGTGTCTCTCCTTTGGAAGGGAGTCCGTATGTCTCCAGGACATCTTCGCGGACGGGCTTCAGCCGGTTCCATGCACCTGAGGCCGCGCGACGGCTGCTGGGTCGGCCGGGGTCTGAGGACTTCATTACGCTGGTAGTTGGGTGGAGGGTTCTCGTGGAACGCGGGGGAGGTCAAGTAATGTCAAAGACTCGAATGATCATGGCTGTATATCACCTAGCGTATTTGCGACACATGGTGGGTGGTGGTGAAAGCAACCGCGCTCGAGGGCTGGGAAGAAGGGAAGGTGGGATGGAGGGGCAGCGCACGAGCTCGACGCGTCGGAAATGCCTTGTCTCGTGACAACAGCGAGACCACTGACGATGTTGCCCATAAAGAGCGACTGCGCTGTCAAGGTCATTGCTTTGCTTCAGAAGCGACGTGTTGTCCTCGCAAGCCTGACCGGACGCGGTATAGTCTACCCAGATCGCGTGTAGTCCCTGAGGGTATTCGCGGATTCTCCGAGGCCGCTTCATGACATGTGAACTTCCAACAAACACGCATATATTGCAGGCCGCCCCCACAATTCTGAATTCAAAGATTCACATCAGATAATCCCATCATGGAAGCAGCCAAGGAAGCAATCTCAAAAGCCGCGCAAACCGGGAAAGAGCTGGAGCAGAAAGTCGAAGAAAAGTTGATACTACTATGGGACGAACTCTCGCCATGGCAGCAAGACAATCACTACATTCAATCGGGATACCGCGCTCAATCCAACTCATTCGTCAAGTCCTGGAAGAGTCTTGGGTATCTACACAACGAAACCGTCAACATCTACACCCATCTCATCGGAGCTATGATGGCTGCCATTTCCTCCGTCGCGCTCTACAACACACTGACCCCTCGCTATGACACAGCGACTCAAGAAGATGTCTGGGCCTTCAGCTGCTACTTCGCAGGAGCTGTAGCATGTTTGGGCATGAGCGCGACGTACCATACGATACAGAACCACTCGCACGAGGTCGCTGTCTGGGGAAACAAACTCGACTATCTGGGCATCGTCTTCTTGATTTGGGGAAGCTTCGTCCCCATCGTATACTATGCTTTTGGCAGCGAACCAGAACTGCAAAGGACGTACTGGACCATGATCACGACGCTGGCTGCAGGCACGTCTGTCGCAGCCACACATCCCAAGTTCCGCACTCCCGCACTTCGACCCTTCCGAGCGCTCATGTTCGTGCTCATGGGCCTTTCCGCTGTCTTCCCCGTACTCCATGGCGTTCGACTATACGGTGTCGAACATCTGCGCAAGAGCATTGGGCTGGATTGGGTCCTCTTGCAGGGTGCGCTGTATATTGCTGGTGCCGCTATCTATGCTGCGAGGATACCTGAGAAGTGGAGCCCTGGAAAATACGATATCTGGGGCTCAAGTCATCAAATCTTTCACGTCTTGGTTGTTCTTGCGGCAGCTAGTCATCTCGTGGCTTTGGTGACGGCATTTGACTACGCACATACGCACGGGATGGACAAGGTGATAGATCGTATGGGAGGCAAGGTTTGGACATGAACACATGATGGTACGGCAAAGCGCAGTCAACAAAATGCTTAACACCTTCAATGGCCGCGTCAAAGGCGTAGTCTCGTCCTCGTTGATACCCTATTTCTGAATGTCATGCCGTGAAGGAAGCGATCGACAAGAATGTATTTCGAGAATACGCACAGACCAGCCGATGACGCCGTGGCTCGATCGCCAGCCACCTTCCCCATAGATTGCACAGATTGGCGTTTGTGGGTCAGGGCAGCCAATCACACCTCAGCACCGCAGCTTCCGATCTTCGAGAGCTCTTTCCCAGCACTCAGGTTCCCGGCTTCCATTCTTCTTTTCTCTTCCACACCGCCCGTCGCGTCTCTTCCAACTGCTTGCGCATCATTTCTACGCATCACCGTATCCATCGCACCTTTACGCGCATCAATTGCTGTTCCGCCCCGCTTTCGCGACTTTACACGCGGTTTTGCGCACCATAACGTCATCTCTTACCACCTGCCACTGCTAAGCTACGTTACACACAATGACCGACACTGAGATCCAACAAGGAGATAAGGGTACGTGCCTCTCAATTCTCAATCCGAGACCCCTTCAGCCGTTCAGTGGGTGCGCATCGCGAGGTTCCGCCAGGCGCATTGCGCTCACTGGCGCGTAACCATTGCCCATCCGCGCGCGTCTTCCTTGCCGCGATCGGTATAATCGCAAAAGACTCAGGAACTCACTGCTAACGCGTGAGCAGTCTCATGGAACTGGGGCTCCGGACAGCCTGGTGGCACCGCTGCCGAGGTCAAGGACCAAGGCGAGATTGCCATTGAATCCAAGAAGGGCAACACCATCAAGAAGAACGCCTCGCCCGACAACCCCGCTGTGCACGTCGAGCGCTCTGGCAACGATGTCGTGAAGCGCGCTTCCGAACTTCAGATCGACGAGAAGGCCGGTGGCGCTAACGGCGACTCCAAGGAAGAGGACAAGTCGGTAGAGTCAGAGAAGAAGGATGACGATAAGTCGGCTGACTCAGATAAGAAGGAGGACGAGAAGACCTCCGAAGCCGAGAAGAAGGACGAGGAGATGAAGGACGCGCCTGACAGTGAGGAGAAGAAGGAAGAAGCGCAAACCAACGGCGAGTCCAAGGCTGAAGAGACCAAGGAGGATTCGAAGGAAGAGTCAAAAGAAGAGGCCAAGGACGACGCGACAGAAGACAAGTCCGACGAAAAGGACGAGGAACCCCAGGCCGGCGACAAGCGCAAGGCCGACGAGGTAGCCGCGGACAAGACCAACGGCGCCGACGCTGACGCCGATGAGAAGCCCGCCGAGAAGAAGGCAAAGACCGACGAGGCCGACGACGATGAAGCCGAGGACAAGGAAGAAGCCGAGACGAAGCCCACCCCCAAGAAGGGCGGCCGTGCCAAGAAGGAGAAGAAGGAACCTGCAAAGAAGAAGGCACCCAAGAAGGCTGCCACCGCCGACGGCACACCACGCCGCAGCGGCAGGACCACCAAGAACACCGCATCAATGGCGGAAGACTAGACGCGCGACACGGTACGAAAGTCTCCTCATAGGTTCAAAATGCATATAGGCAAGGATAACAATGAAACGACCATGGAAAAATGGATACTGGGTGGAATGGAATGGAAAAGGTCATGTATTCATCGGTGGCAGGCGCTCATAAGGGATGGATTTCGCACTCTCATTTCCTTTTTTGAGGTTCTGCTTTTACTTCGGTATCGTACGTCTGCTTTTCTGGGCTTGTATGTAACTGTATCATGGAATGAATCAATAACGTAAACATTAATTGCAAATTTCCACGTGCTTGCTCTCTGCAGAAGAGCTCTGATGGCGTGTCATGATTAACATGGCTTGAACGAACGACTGAGTGCTTCAAAAATATTGCATTGCATGATATAACTACGAACTACCATCTGCTCCACCTACTGCGCTCGAGCCGCAATACTATTTGCTTCCTGTGATGTCTGTCAGCGATGCTGTGCCAGTTGTCATGTGGTAGTGCGACGTGTGTGTAATCTCTCATTCAGACAGGAAATACTCATTCAATAAAGGCCGTGAAACCTTCTCCGATCCGTCTTGAAACTTGTGATTTGTATTGTGATCATCATTGCGAGATGGGGTGTGGGAAGTGTGTGTAGGGGAAGGGTGGGTGGTGGACTTACTCGGTTTAAAGGATGAGCTGAAGGCTGAGGTGGTTGGGTCTGTGGTTAGTTCTGGGATTGTGGCTGCGCTTTCTGGCAGTTGAGATGATCATCGTGTTTTGCGCGTCGCGATACTTTGATCGCGCATGAGACGCAGTTGTCGAGAAGCTCATCAGCTCATGTCGTAGCTGTGCCGCTGGGGTGTGGTGAGAGAAGGCTGAGAGGAGCTCTGCAAAGTTCTTGCGCGTTTTCAAGCGAAGGGTCTTGGCGGGGCAGGGCCCATGCGTCCTCCGTGCCTGCCCCACCTTCCTTCATCACGATACTCACTCTCCTCGTCCGTTACTTTTCTTCGCACTCGTCGCCTGATCATTCGATTGCTCCTGATCTGAGTTGTGCGTCGTACTGCCATTCACCACTGGTTTGACTCCCATCGGGTTCGCGGTCTTTGTGTTCTCCAACGCTTTCCAAGGCTGCCTGCCTTGTTGCGCCTCGCTGCCTTCAATGTAACGTCTACGACAAAGGGGAACGTCGTGCCTCAACCGCCCAGAGCTCGAAAAATTCGTAAACGCGCAGACAGTTAGAGCATGCCCTCGTAAAGCGTAGCATTTTCGTTATGCGGCTTCTACACACACGCACATTGGAGCTGAAGACCTTTGTCGGCCGTATCCCATCGTACGCCATTCTATCGCACTGCTGGGAGGATGAAGAAGTCGTTTTCTCTGATCTTGCTGATCCAGAGCAAGCGAAGAAGAAGAAGGGATTTGCCAAGATTGAAAAGACATGTAAACTTGCGATCGGAGATGGATTTCATTATGTATGGGTCGATACCTGCTGCATTGACAAGAGTAGTAGTGCTGAACTTTCGGAAGCTATCAACAGCATGTTTGCGTGGTATAGGGACTCAGATCAGTGCTATGCATATCTCGCCGATGTCGAGCTCGAGGGTGCATTCGCGGAAGGTCAATCGGCAAGGTATCGCATCGCCTTTTCACGCAGCAGATGGTTTGAACGTGCTTGGACGTTGCAAGAGCTACTGGCTCCTAGGAACTTCCATCCTGATGGGGACCACAACTTTTACAACCCTTTCTTTCCTAATCAAATCCCATCTGGTAGATACGATGGTATGAAGTTTTATTCGCGCGACTGGCAACTTCTTGGGCTCAAGGTCGACCTTGGCAGACAAATATCAAAGATCACTGGCATCCCCATGGAGTATCTCAACGGCCAGAGCTTGGAAATCGCGAGTATTAGTATGCGGATGTCGTGGGCTGCAGACAGACAGGCGACAAGATCTGAAGACATCGCTTACAGCCTACTTGGTATTTTCGATGTCAACATGCCTTTGCTATATGGCGAGGGGAGAACAAAGGCGTTTAGAAGGTTGCAGGAAGAGATCATGAAGATCTCAGAGGACGAGACGCTATTTGCATGGGAGGCTCCATACCGTTGGAAGGCTTCATATCGTATGAATGAGTTAGCCGCAGACGTACTCGCGTCTGCTCCAACCGATTTCCGGGAAACACGAAGCCTGATACCATTCGCTTCGGACGATCCTGTGCCCCCTTCCACGATGACCCACAGGGGCCTACGCATATGGCAAACGCTGTTCCACACTCACCAACTCAACAAGTATGAATGCGGAATGATTCGGCCTCTTCGCTCCCCAGTCATGATTTGGCCGGATCGCGACATCGTTTGGGGGATCTTAAGATGCCATGTGGCTCACGACTTCCAGCACTTCGTAATCGTCCCTTTGCTGCATTTATCTGGCGATCTTTATGTAAGAGATATCAGTACTAGCGTGTCATTAATTCCATCCGGATGCGTACCCCCTTCGGCGCTTCCAAGGGAAATCTACATCCGGAACGTTCGTACATCAACCATCGCGAACAATTTTTGGCGGCGATGGGGATTTCTTGTTCGCAAACCTCCAGAAGGCATCGAGATACGACGATGCTTCCCCAAAGAAGCCTGGAATGAGAAAGATAACATCCTGCAGGGTAAGGATAACGACATTGGACCTTCGTCCTGGCACGCATCCATAGAACTGGACTTCACTCTCGCCACTAAAACAGGGCAGGCTGCTGAATACATGATGTTCTTATCCATGGGATGCAAAAATGGTGCCTTGACAGAGAAACCACAACCCTGGTGTTATGTTCATGACGCTATCTGGAGGCAAGGTACCATGAATCTGGAAGCATTCCATGCTATTTCATCGTCGAAGCCTGCACAGCACGAGGTTCAGCGTTTCCGAGCGGGAAATATGACTAGAACAGACCTTAGTCTCAAGGTGTCCATCACACCAGCCAAAGTCCTTTCGCAAGACATGTTTGTCGTAGACCTTCAATACGGAGAGCTCCAGCAGTTTTGCGCTACAGTCATACCTGGTGCACATGAGCAGCAGCTGCCTCCCAGTGTATTTCACTCCAGTTCTTCGATGCACGATGTTCCGTTGGTGACAATACCAAGCATCTCGGAACTCTTGGCTACGGGCACTGATTCTCCAAGTTTTCATACACAGCCTTGATATTGACATATACATAGGAGTAAAAATGGGAGGCTTCTTCATGTAGCATAACGAAGATATCTGTAATTACGACTGGACATCTCTACTCTGGGTCTAAAGCCCACCTGAACGCGCACGGCCCTATCAATCGCAGATCCCTAACATTGGAAAACTCGAATTTGCACAACCCACGCTCACCGGAGACGCCCAGAATGCAGATCGATGGTATTAGCACGAGCGAACTATGTCACGTTAGCGAGTTAAACTTACGGAAAGCGCAGCGTACTTACCTTCGTCTTATGCACCAACTTCCAGATGATGATCGGCACGATGAAAAGCGGTATGCCAATATACGAGGCGATGAAGTCACCCGTACTCCAGTTCCCCTTCAGGAAGACAGGGAAACCAGTGATCAACGTAATAATAGTGGATCCGATGAAACCATACCACGCGGTAAAAGGTTGGAAGGGGCTCTTCCACGGCAAGCTATCCCGGCTAAGTCCTTGCGCTTTCATGGCAGCATGGAAGCGGATGAAGCAGAAACACAATGTAGCCCAGGCGATCAAGCCTGCGACTGTGCTGAGACTCACTAGCCATCCGAAAGCTTGTGCTGCTCCTCCCTCGCCCAGACTGAGATAGGCCAGAGGTCCAAAGAGCCAAGACGCAAGAACCGCGTAGTATGGCACTCCGTTTTTCCAGGTGCGGCCGAAGATTTGTGGAAGCTGGCGATCTGTGGTCATGGCGACGATGATTCGGGAACCGACCCAGCAGTATGAGTTTCCTGCCGACCAGGCCGAGATGAGGATGCAGGCGTTGACGATTGAAGGAAGGACGCTGATACCAGCTTGTTTGATCGCGATAACCCACGGCGATGAGTTGGCGTTTCCAGTACCTGACACGAGACCAGGGTTCCTCGGGTCGACGATTATTCCAATCAAAAGAGCGCCTAGGATGTAGAAAAGGGCGATGCGGAATGTGACCCTTTTGGCAGACTTCGGAATGGCCGAGTGTGGGTTGATGCTCTCCGCAGCGGTGATGACTACCACCTCGACACCAATGAAGGAGAACGCTGCGTTGACGAACGAGGCCAGGAATCCTAAGAAGTGACCTGTTGGCCCAGAGATGCCGTTGTAGTCCACCCATGCGCCTGGATTGTTCCAGTAGCGGAAGCCAATTGTTTCACCGTTTGGCGCTCCTCCGGAGGTAATGACGATGGAAACCAGAATGAGACCGAGGAAGCATGCAATCTTGATTGCACCAGCGACGACTTCAGATTCACCAAACCAACGTACACTCAGTAAGTTGGTAGCCAGGATAAGAACCAGACTGATGGAGATGACAACGGCAGGCGACATGTCGGTCCAATAGCCCACCAGGATCGCGGATGCAGAGCACTCGGCAGCAATAGATATGGTATAACAATATCCATAGCTTATAGCGAGCGAGAACCCAACAGCCGGATCAATAAACCGGCTCGCAAAATGCGGAAACGAACCAGCAGTGGGAATCTGATGGACAGTAAGCAATTACCTCTTGGAACCCAACACCAAAGAATTACAAACCACAGTAGCCAATTCCGCAATACTCTGCATAACACACCAAAGCACACTCCCCACAACCAGATACGCAAGCAACAATCCCGCAGGCCCAGCACTCGCATACGCAGATCCCGTTCCGATGAACAATCCCGTGCCAATCCCCGAACAGAACCCTATCATCGTGACATGATAGTTCTTGAGCCGCCGTTGCGTAGCACCATGTCCACCGACATTGAGTTGCGGTTCGAGAATGGGTTTGCCGTCGTCGGAGCCATGGTGGTCGATATGTGGTGAGCTTTCGATGTCGTGCTGGCGAATTTGGTCCAACATTGTCGACTACGATGTGACCGCGGAGACAAGGCTCTGGGGTATTGTTGGAGAACGCACAGGCGGTAGTGTGGCGGGGATGTTACCCAGGTATGTAAGGGTTCGCACTATGGAAGCTGTCTTGGTGCTATGTACTGTACTTTACTCTTCTTCCCGTTCGTCCCGCAAATTCTTTTCGGCGCTATCAAAGCACGTCATGTAAATCTGCTGTGAGCCTGGACCACCATGTGGTGGCGCGGAATGCAGTTGGGAAGTACTATACGAATACCTAGGTACCCATCATGGTGCGTAGTTTGGGGGGTTTGAACCTCGCTCCAGCGTTTAAGCGGCTAGACGTCTATCACGCTTTATCGATAGACTTACTCAGTTGTAGACCCTTTCTTGACAGGTGTAAAGCGTAGCCATGTGATTTGTTAGATGAACTAGTTCCCACTAAATCGTGAATTTTCGGAAGGGGCCGATCTTAGCGCGATGAAGTTTTCTTGATGTTCGCACTACCAGGACTGTTTTACGCTAGTTCAAAACGCTCAACAACAGAATTGTGGGTAAGATCATAGCGTGCTCGTTTCCTAGCATGACGAATTCATCTATCGAATCGCTCAGACCTTTACTTTCAGCGTCCATCGCCTTCCCAAACATGCCCATCGACTGAACAAGAAACTGATCAGACTCAAACCGAGAATCGCGCAGAAGAAAGCTACCATGGGCTGGGGTCCAACTGTTTCAACAAGCTCTCCGCTGATTGGAATGCAGACCAGCGTTGCGAGGGACGCAATGAAGTACATGCTTCCATAGTATCGGCCAAATTCCTCCGCCCTGCATAGTTGACCTACGCATGCGGGTGTCAACGCCATCCAGGAACCTGTTCCGAAACCGAAGAGCGCTGCAAAAGCGTACAGTGCTGGGAGGGATGTTGTGCCAAGTGGCAACCATAAGGCTAGCATCCAGAGCAAGGTGAATACGATCATGATGAACAGAGTGTTGAATCGACCAATCTTATCCGCGGCATACCCGGGTAGCAATCGTCCGAGGCAGGAGACACCGTTGAGTACCGCGATGAGGTAGAAGCCAGTGTCAGGCGGGAAGTTCGTACTCAGCGTTGCGTATGTGGGCATGATGCCCAGTCCACCAAAGAGAACGACCTCGAACCCGAAGACACTCAACGTGAATAAGCTCAACCTCAGATCGCCGTAGATAGAGAGTGAGATGATGGCTTTCTTCTTTGCGGCGGCAGACGGCGGGATGCGAGCTTTCATCAGGATGTTGGCAATGATGAAGCAAAACAGGAATACAAAGCCCAGTATACGGAGAGACCAGGCGTAGCCGTACTTCGGAAGAGTAGTTCGCAATACCAACGGAATCGTCAGACCACCAGCAGAGCTACCCATCATAGCGATGCCTTGTGTAAGACCCCGTCGCTCCTTGAACCAATGCGCAACTACCGCGAGACTCGTAGTCGTCAGCATGGCGCCAGAAAAGCCTCCCAGTACGCCACAGCAGAGGATCATCTGCCAGAACTTGTCGCATTCAGCAAGCAGAAAGATCATCAAGAGAAACATGACACTTCCTGTCAAAGCGATCCATCGCGGCCCATACCGGTCGAAGAGCGGTCCAACCCAAATACCCAGCGCAAGCGACAGGTAGACAAAGACTGATGGAATCCATCCAATGTCACGTGCTGACATATACGAAAGCTGGTTCTGGCCCCAGTAGTCCTGAAGTGTGCCGATAGACACCATGAAGCCGAAGGAAGGAAACAGCATCAACCACGCCGATGCGACAACGAGCCACGCGCGTAGCCCACCCTCGGGGAAATCATCTTCAGCGTCAACAACAGGTATCCCAGGCTCTTCGTCTAGCTCATCAATAGGCTGCGTCCGATGCGACCGTGTGCGCACATGGGATCTGACTTCCATCTCATGATGCGCGGACTGTTTCGCTTCGCTTCCCGCCTTCGATCGACCCGTCATCTTTGACACCGTCCTCCTCAATCCATCCCAAATCTCATCAGGCTCCTCATAAGCATAGGGTCTTCCGTCGCTCGTAGTCGGGATGTCCTGCATCTGGACAACAGGATTGGCGATTGGATCCATCTTGAACAAAACCCCCTTCTTCTACCCTTTTATCGTCTTTCGAAAGATAAACAACAGCAGATTGCGTCAAGCGCTCGTAGCGTGAACCAGAAAGATATCTTATCCGTCGTTCAGAAATTTGGTCGTCGACCACACGAGCCTACCGTGCCTTATACAACAGCGACAACACCCGGATTCGCATGCCTCATCGAGTAGAGTAGCTTGGCGCAAAAAACGCATCTATGACAGCAACCAGACGCATAGGGCGTGTTAACGCTCGATGCGCCCTACCCTATCGGCGGAGCGACGGTTAGTGGAGCGGCGTGTCTGGGCCTGCCCCGCCTTCAACCGTTGATTCGCATCTTCGGAGTTTTTTGGCATATTCCGATTATTCCTAGATGCACTTGCTCGTACTCCGTGATCGCCATGGTGGAGAAAAGGGCGGAAGGCGTGTGAGGTTTGCCAGGGCGCGGTGTGGGTTGGGTTGGTCGAAAGCGTGATTTTCGCGAGGGTTGCACTTGCGATGCCGGCACAAGGCCGCGGAGATGGTGGCTGGTGCATTACTAAGCCACTTTTGCAAGGACCGAGTTGAGTGCATCCCATTGTTCTACAATGCTACTATAAAGTTCCGCTTTACTACTTACAAGCCTGCGTTTCATTTCGGCACAGCCGTAATGACAGAATGATACCTCACCTCGTCATAGCAATGCACATCCGCGATCTTCAGTCCCGCGCTCTCCAACAACTTTGCCCAGTCCTCCCTACTCCGCTCGATACCACCTAGCGACGCCATCATCGCAAGATCCATCATAGCAACCTGCCAAGGCACGTTCGTCTCCGGTAGCACCACCTCATCGATCAAGATGCGCGACTCCGGACCCATGGCAGGGAAGATGTTTGAGAGGATGCGAATGCAGTCTTCATCCGTCCAGTCATGCATGATGTGCCTGAGATAGTAGAACTTTGCTTCGCGAATAGGTTGCGGGGTGAAGAAGTCATGGGCTTGGAACTCGATACCATCCACGTGAGGCGCATGCGCAAGTGTCGAAGGCACATCCTGAACGACGATGCGGCCGCGTAGTTCGGGAAACTTTTTCTTGAATGCGACGGAGTGTTGACCAAAGCCTCCGCCGATGTCGACCAAAAGCGCAGAGTCGTCCGCGGGCTGGAAGTCGCCGACAACGTCTTGAGCAGGATATGAAGACACCCAGCTATCGACAGAGTCGAGCACCATGATATGACCGAGTGCTTTCATCTGCTCGCCATCCTGCTTCATCCACTCGAACGGTGTAAGCTCAGTCTTCATGGCCGCATGGAAAGGCAGGTCTTTGGAATCGGTGATATCCCGGTACTTATGCTCTTTCAAATAGCCAGGCAGTGCTTGCATAACCGGCAGATGGAGTTTCGACAGATGCGGCGCGGCGCCGTTGACGTGCGGGTTGGCGAAGACGCGCGTCGCACGGTTTGCTGCGAATGTATCCTTCTTAACTTCTGCGATGAGTCCGAACGATGCCATGGACCGAAGCAAGTGCACGAGTAGATTTGGCGCTGCGCCTGTCTTCTGCTGAAACTCATCATATGTTACTGGTGTTGTCGATGAGGCGAGCGTGGTGAAGATGTTGAGATCGATACCGACATCGATGAGGGCCCATTGAAGAGGCTGGCTACGGATCAGTAAATGCATGCAATTGATGGGGAAGACTTACTGCCATAGCTAGGCTGAACATCATCTCCCAATCGCTGTAGAGATCCTTTTGTAGGTCTCGGATCTGTTCCTGGATTTCTTGTCGCTCTCTGGCATTTCCCTTGGCGTATGCCTGACGGATCTGGTCTGCTGCTGCTTCCATGATTGTGGGCTTGAAGCTGTACACTAGGGTTCGTGCTGGAAGGAAGAGGCGTTGTAATTGCTGAGTTGATTCACTTCCATTATCGCAGGCTTCGATCTTTATACTCCATCTCTACTCGCACAACTATCTCGGTTTCCTCGGTCGTACATTCCGTCTTCCGCTCAAGAGCTTTTTGTTGACCGAGATGTGCGAGACTCAGGTTGGTAGTGACGAAGATGTCCGTAGGCAGCAGCGAGTTGACCGAAATGACCGAAAAGACCAGTACGGGTTCCTCCAATGCATAATCTCCTGCTGGTACCTTCCAGAAAGCCTTCTCTCGGCTTTTAGGTTCCCTTTGGATACATGTTAATCCATCCACGATGGATTGAGGCTGAAAGATGATGGTGAGCCCCATTGCCTAAATAGGAAGGTTTTGCTTGGGTGTAGATGACGGCACTCAATGACGCCAAGGTCGCCAATGTCCGGGTTGGCCCAATGTCCCCCATGACGCCCAGGCCTGCCACGCCTACCTAGGTAGCATTCATGTTATGCTCACCACGCTCGTCCAACGCCAGCGACCTGTACTTCACCAAAGCCAAGCCTCATAACGCAACATTACACTTCCAGTATGAAGTATCCTGAAGCGCGCGCGCAATATTATGCATCTCACTCGAGCATCCAGCGACGGTCGTTGTTGCGGACACGAACGGAATGAACGTCGCCCTTTAGGCTGGGTCAAACCGACAAGGCCTCAGCATGTGTGCATATCGTGGGAACACCTGAAAGGTGGTATCAGGACAGGCTGGCCATAAGATTATAGTTGAGTATGTCCAGTACTCTTCCTCCAGAACGCTGCCGTGCTGTTGAAGCCCGTCATGTTGACGTTGCAGTCACTCTGTGGCGGATTGCCAATGCGCAGCGGACCGGATGTGACGGATATTGGCTATACTCCCGCACGACTAAGATGCCTTCGCATCCTAATGTCTTCCAAGTCTTCGAGGGTGTCTTGCTGACATGTCAATGCGTCCATGGAGAAGGGTCTTCGGACGCAGGCGCTATGATCGCTGGCAAGCTTAGCGTTCGAGATTCAAGTGGAGCTCATTATTCCGCCGACGCTTGAGAAATACCGCCATTCAGACGAAAGCGCTAGACTCAACACATGCAGCACCAAGCATTCGGGCGGTCTCGTATACATGGCTTGGGAGGCTTATCTTCACAAATTTTGAGCCGCATGTTGCAGCGTCGCGCAACGAAAACACCGTTAAGAATGCTCGCAAAGGTCGCAACGGCTCTGTCCCATGAGTATGTAGCGACCAAGTCGGACAGTAGGCCTGAACGATCCCAGAGACGAACAAATGACTGGTGGAAGAACAGATAAATGGGTCTGCGGAGGCCAAAGGTGGAGTCTGGGGTCGGACAGGTTCCTCCACATGATAACGACGCAATACTCGGGGACAGCACTGCCGGTGGTGCCACCCTCGGCGTCTGGTGTTTTGACCTAGGTATTTATTGAAAAGCCTACCTCGCTCTCTTTGTACGCAGACAAGTCAACCCAGAAAGCTGCGACGACATAACCAAGATGCCGTCCAAATTCTTCAAAAACCGCAGGGTCTATCTACTGACCAGTGTTGCCTACATGGGCTCGCTGCTGTTCGGTAGGCACCCGCTGTCTCCATTCCTGAGCAAGAGCTAACACTGTGGAAGGTTATGACACCGGAGTAATGGGCAGCGTGCTCGCGCTCAAAGCTTTCAAACAGGACTTCGGCTTGCCAACAGACTCATCTGGATTCTCCGACTCGAAAAATGCATCGGTATCGTCGAACGTCGTATCGCTTCTTACTGCAGGTTGCTTTTTCGGTGCCATCGGGGCCGCTTGGATCAACGAACGGTTCGGTCGACGATTGTCTCTTATGGGCTTCTCCCTCGTCTTCCTTATCGGTGCCGCAATCCAGACTGCCGCTCATCATCAGATTGGCGTCATCTACGCAGGTCGCGTCATCGCAGGGCTCGGCATTGGAGGTATGTCATCCATCACCCCGGTATTCGTCTCGGAAAATGCTCCTCCAGCTCTTCGAGGACGTATCGCTGGTCTCTTCCAGGAGTTTCTGGTCATTGGTAGCACTTTCGCGTACTGGCTAGATTACGGTGTTGCGCTCCACATGCCCACGTCAACGAAGCAATGGAGAGTGCCCGTATCGATTCAACTCATTCCAGGTGGTTTCATGTTGATCGGACTTTTCTTCCTCAAGGAGTCTCCGCGGTGGCTGATGTCAAAGGGTCGACAAGAGGAAGCTGCGCAGTCGCTTGCGTTCATTCGCTGCGAGCAACCCGATAGCCCTGAGCTCCAAAAAGAGCTAGCCGAGATTCGCGCTGCAGTCGAAGAAGAGTTGAACCAGACTGAGGGCATAACATGGAAGGAGGTTCTCCTTCCAGGCAACCGATACCGATTCATCACTGGTTTCGTGTTGATGTTCTGGCAGCAGTTCAGCGGAACAAACTCAATCGGTAAGGTGAAGATCTTTAGAGCTGAACTTCGCCATCTGACCCTCCTTCAGGCTACTACGCTCCTCAAATCTTCCAGACCATTGGTGTATCAGCAGCTAACGCTTCGCTGTTCGCAACGGGTATCTATGGCACAGTCAAAGTCATCACGACTGGAATCTTCTTGATCGTTGGTATCGACTTCATTGGCCGGAAGTACTCGCTCATGGCTGGCGCGGCATGGATGGCGTCCATGATGTTCATCATCGGCGCTGTTCTTGCTACAAACCCACCAAACCCAGATTCTGGATCAGTCTCGTCCGCCTCCATCGCCATGGTCGCCATGATCTACCTTTATGTTATCGGCTACTCGGCTTCCTGGGGTCCCGTCCCTTGGGTTTACCTAGGGGAGATTTTTCCGACGCGACTTCGTTCGTACGGTGTGGGAATGGGAGCAGCCACGCAATGGCTCTTCAATTTCGTTATTACGAAGATCACACCTGCCGCGATCAACTCCATCGGGTAAGAGATTGACCGTAAGAATCGCATGCAAAACATACACTGACATCATCCTTTGCAGGTGGAAAACATTCCTCATGTTCGGCATCTTTTGTCTTTCCATGGGCATTTTTGCTACGTTTTTCATCAAAGAGACAAAAGGAAAGACGCTGGAGGAGATTGATATTCTGTTCGGTGATGTGTCGGCTGAGCAGCGTCGCCAGGATGTCGAGGCGGGCATGAAGGAGGAACAGCGAAAGCACTCGGTGAAGTACATGGAAGACGCTACCGAGCTCGAGAACAGGGCAGGCAAGGAGTGAGTAGTGCTTTCAAATCGATACCGAGGATTCTTCTGGTCTGTAGATCAATAAATATGCTTCAGCAGACAACGGTGAAGCTTGGCGACAAGCTGTAGCCGGACTCTACCCATAAGAAAGGCCTTTCTGTCGGGAGTTGACGTGTGTTTGAAGCACTAATCCCTTTCAACACGGGTCGGTGAGATGACATGTTATACGCTGGATGTCAATCCGATGGGGGACGATGAGACTGTTTTGGGAGGCGGAGCAGGTAGGGGCTTGGTCAATACCCAAAAGGGTTAGCGTTATTATTACAGGGGCCATCGCAAGAGGCCTCCGACATTTCGACGCACTCCTTCGTCTTCGCATCACGGCCAGCACGATTTTCATCAAACCATGGGTGCTGCATCAATTTCGAACATGCTGCCATCATTCACGCTTCCATATCGACATCCATTTGCATCATGTGTCCCACAAGGTGATTCTGTACGCCCAGTGTGGGGAGACCCCGAAGTCAGCTTTTACGCGTTCAAAGGTTCTTATCGCAGGTTTAGTTCATTCTGATTCGCTTATTACGACCAACAGGAAGACTCAATATGCAGTCTCGCAGCCCTCAGCATCGACCGTTTACCATAATATCGGAACCACTGTATGATTACGGACGCCACAAAAGCCTCACAACCTTCGCGATATGCGCGACGTATTGATCACACGAGATGCACAGCGGAACCAGACCGGGTAAAGCTACATGGCTGCATGCTGACTGCGCGCCCGATATGGCAATACGTCTGGGCCGGCCCGTATCAGATGGCCAAGACGAGAACTGGGCCGCATCGTATGAGGAGTACGAGTCAAGAGATGGGAATACAGTCCTTGCACCACCCCAAACCTCAGGCTACCACCAGCCTGGATGTATGTGGGGCATATCATGGGCAGTAGAGAAGAGGGGTGTCGCCAGTGCTGTTAACAGAAGCTTGTATAAGGTACCGGCATGATAGCCTCCAAGAGAGCAAGCTTCGTCGTCGAAGCTGTTAGACATCATTAATCTCAATTCCGTATCCGCGCTTTACAGAATGGTCTTCGGGTTCTCGCTTCTTTCAAGCCTTCTTGCGGCGCAAGCTGCCTATGCGTACAACTTCCCATATGAGGGTATACAGCTGACGGACTCGGATGTGGGGACCAACCCTGACTTGGCTTTCGGCAAAGCAAACGAGAGCGACATACCTTCTTGCAAGAGCTATCCAGGCTACGACGGCTGGCCATCATCGACGCAATGGAGTGCCTTGAACATCAGCCTTGGAGGCACATTGCTTAAGGGTATTCCACCCGCTGCTGCCTGCTATGAGGGCGAGTACAAGGATACTGCAAAGTGTTCAAACGTCAGGCGACGTCAAAGCGATGCTCTCTTCGCGTATGTACTTGCAAACCTTACCCTCGGTCGAAAGCTAACTTATTTCATCTAGCAAGGAAGACCCACTGGTACCGTTTGGGCAGTGGACTTTACATAATCCGTGCCCCGTACCTGCAGCTAGCGCTACGCCTCCGCTGTCTGGCTGCAAACTCATCAGCTTTCCTGCATTTGTCGTCAATGCTACTACGGTCAAAGACGTGCAGCTCGCAGTCAACTTTGCCAGGAACAACAATATTCGGTTAACGATCAAGTACGTCCCCAGGAAAGACACCAGCCCCAAACTGACTATAGTAGAAATACCGGCCATGACTTCCTCGGCCGAAACACCGGCGGTGGCGCACTTCAAGTCTGGGTGCATCGCATGAAAGCATTTGAGTACTTATCGACTTACAAAGTTGGTCAGTACAATGGTCAAGCAGCCCGAGTTGGAGCGGCGCTCGAACAACATGAAGTGTATGACGCCATGAGTACACATGGTATCACTCTTTTAGCACCCGGGTCTTCTACTGTTGGAGCTTATGGCGGTTACATGCAAGGCGGAGGATTCTCGTACATCACGTCAAGATATGGCCTCATGGCTGATCAGGTGCTTGCTCTAGAGGTTGTCACTGCAGATGGCAAGTTTGTGCATGCAGATCCGACGGAGAATGGGGACCTCTTCTTCGCTATTAGAGGTGGTGGACCCGGTAAGCTTCCACAGTACCATCACAACTGATTTTGATACTGACCAATAGCAAAGGAAACTTCGGTATCGTTACATCTGCCATCGTAAAAGCGTATCCTCCTACGACAGTCGCACGAAGCGACTTCACGTTCCAGACCGGCCCCGTGTCTAGCAACGACAAGACTACCGTTCGCGTATCCAATGAAACCTTTTGGAAAGGTATGAAGGTCTATTTCTCGCACAATCTACGCATCAATGATGCCAAAGGCATTATGTCAAACTACATCACCAAGGCCTCTGGTACCTTCACCCTATCAAACCAAATTACCAAGCCGGGCGTCACCGTCGAAGAGATGAGAAAGCTCATGGCGCCGCTCATCAAAGACCTCAACGATGTTGGCATTCCACTAGTCAACCCCGAGCCAAAGTTTTGGAGCACATATGCAAAGTTCGGTATCCTGCCTGGCGGCCCAAGTGGTGGTACTAGTAACAGCCGTCTTGTGAGCCGGCTTGTCCCCCGATCCAACTTCGAAGACCCAACCTCCCAGACATTCAATACCACCATGGCAGCGATCCGCTCCTTCGTGGAAGAAGGCGGCTACAGTCTCCACTCCGTCGACTACGCACCAACATACGAAACAGCCGGCTATCCTGGCTCAGACTCTGCTGTCTCGCCGCACCTGCGCAATGCAGTCATGCACATGACCGGCTTCGATAGTCGACAATACGATGCCAGCCTCTCTGATGAGCTCTGGAAGTCATCGCATGCTCGCCTCAACTCGTATATACAGAAGCTGAGAGATGCGACGCCGCTCAGCGGCGCTTATATGAACGAGGCGGATGTTGCGGAGCCGAACTTTCAGTATAGTATGTATGGTGATAACTACGATAGGTTGCTCAAGATCAAGAAGGAAAGAGATCCATGGGGGTTGTTCTATGTGGTTACGGGTGTGGGTAGCGAGAGTTGGTTTGTTGAAGGGACGGGAGGACTCCCTACTCAGCAGGGACGACTATGTAGGGTTGATGCATAAAGTAAATGGGGTTGATAGCTTGCCAGATGTTGTACATGGGCTGTCATGCACGTAGGCACGATACGAAATCGAGGAAAGCGAGAACGCACCACACGTCTATGAGCAACACGGACACGGAGATCGTTGCGACATACAATGTCTTATTAGGTGTACATGCTTTGAGACACTTGACTATCTACAATGACGTGCATGCTCATATCAGTCTTGCCCAAATACCACAGGCCATGTAACAGGAAGTCTTTGAGACCTAGACATCATGACTTTGGAGAACTGACTTGGCAGACGAGAACCATGGCGATCAGGGATACCATCTGCCTTTCTCCAGTTGATCCACCAACTTCTCGATGAGGTCCCTCTCCTTCTTGTATAAGCGCATCGTCCTCTTCCAAGTTGCGCCGCCTCGCTTGTGTCGATGGATGTTACCAAGCCAGTGCTCCACATCAACTGAATCGTAGCTTTGTAAAGCCATTCGCACCGCTATGATGAACATATGTGCGAAGTCGAGCATGGTGACACCGGACGAATTGAGAAAGCTTTGAGCCATGTCCGGGCCTCCAGGTAACCAGACAGCAATAGTGAGCTCGGTGACGGCAGGTGAACAGACTTGGACAGTATTCCAGGTTCGTTTCGACTGGTCGGCGCTCCTAGCATGGACCACAGTCTCGAGGAATGCTCGGATATGTGTGAAGTAATCGCAAGCCTCAGGGTAGTTGTCGCCAAGAGCGAAGATGAGGTGTTTTCCGTGGCCGGTGAAGACAACTGAGCCTTTTCCTTTCCACGATCGGCGAAGGAGCGGATTCGCACGTGACATGTCGAGTAGGGACTCGTAGGGACGCGAGTCGTAATCGCTGCCATCGTACATGCGCTCTTCACGGCCCATGTTAGTCGTCAAGCGCATCAACTGTTCGTCGTTGTCCAGCCTCTCGAAGTAATCTTGGATAGCCTGTTTGTATTGACCGCGACGAGACATTGGGTTGTCTGCGAAGAAGGCGCGAAGAGTAGCCGGTGTCACCACTGTCATGTGGCTGATACTCCTAGTATGTCGCGATTGACTCCAGTCTGCAACTAGAGGTTTGCCCAAGTCAGGAAGGCCCGCCCCCAGAAACAGTCGATGGTCTGTCTTCTCTTCGCTCATGTTGTCGGCGACCAAGAAGCACTTCTTCTTAACTGCAGTTGATCCCTGCACACAATCTCGCCAGAACTTAGAGACCGCTTGAGCGCTCTTGAGGATATCTCCCGGGCTTAGGTTGCGGAGCACGTTCTCGAGGAGTTCGGTGACGCCCAAGACGCGGGCGGGATCGCCGTGTGCGAGTGGAGGAGAGTTTATGTCGTTCATATCGATCGTTATGAGCCTAGCGATGGTCGAAAGCCAACGTTCAATAAGGCGCGTAGAGGTTGTATTTTGAGAGGCAAGTTATTTGGCCGTGCGACGCAATCGTTTGTGGGTTGCCAAGCCTGAGCACGAGCCAGCAAAGTGAAAGACAGCTCGCGAGACAAACCAGGCGTACAGTGAGACTGCTTGTACTATTCCAGACTTGGCTCAGTTTTGGCTCAAGTAGAAGTAACCGACTGGGTCCAGTAGTCTCGTGAGCTCGTTAGCCGCGGCGAGATCTTGTTGGGGGACGTAAAGCGCGTTAGATTGCCCAGCAAATTCGAGCCGCTCGACAAAGTACCTGGCGAGAAGTATCAGAACATCATCAACCAGTACACCAGTAGCGCGACGGAAGCTTTTGAAGCGATGGACAAAGTGTACCCGGGTAGAGCGGTTTGAGATCTCCCAGTGCATAACCAAGCTGACGGTGGTGAAAGCGGGATTCGAGAGCGTAGATTTGATCCAACTAGCGGTAGGGCTTCTCTGTACCTGGGACAATATATCCTCGATTGCTCGCGAGATTTTGGTAGAGGAGAGGCCCAATTTCGAAATGGGTAAGGGGTCCTCCACGAAGACTATTGCATGGGAGCCAAAGCCAGTCCAAAAGAAACCACTTGAAATCCAAAGATTGCGGGCGATAAATGGGTGTATGGCTGATGGACGGACTTGGGTGATAGGCGCTTCCCAGTCCCAACTTCGACTTCCGTGTTTTAACCTTAACCTTGGGAGCCGATCTTTGCCTGATGGAATCAAAGCTCTGCTGACCGCAGCTTGATCTACGTAGTAGGAGTCCGCAGGAACAAAACATCTGATGTCTGCGAGATTCAGAAAAATGAAAGGCCGGTATTTGTATCCAGGAATAAGGCCTCCGCGCCCCTCATGAGATCCATACGCGGGGAAGATATTGCTTAAGGGGTGGTAGAGCTTGCTATCGGCTTCATCTTCTTCGACTCGGTTGGCGTCAAACAAGAAGATCTGTCTGAGAATGGACGATCTGTTGATGCAGTTATAGAAGGTACGAGACACCATCTGTTTGTTCGACAAAGCATCCGTCGGGCTGAGGTGTTGCAAAATATTCTCGAGAAGTTCTGCGATGCCCAGGGCTTGTTGAGTAGCGGTAAGCGTTGACGCCATCTTGACGGTGGTAATGTGTAGGTGATGAGCTATGCTTTCGACTTCTGTGAATTTTCGGACGAAGTGTCGAAAGCAGGTCGGCACAGGAATGAGAAACTGGAGGCCAGGAAGGAAATTTCAGCACGTCGTGACTGTGTCATCAGCGTACGGTGCGGGTGGCTTCCTCTCGCTACCAGGGAATGTCAACAGGTCTTTCAAACCCGCACAGCTCGTAAAGACGAGCATGCCGCGCGAAACATCGGTAGCGCAGCAATTCGCCATGCGTTGAAAGCGGTACCGATATATTTCACATTCCGAGGCTGGGTAAGAACGCGCTGCGCGAACGCGTAATGGTCGCGATCATCGCTCAAATCAACGCAACATCGTACATGCGCGTTGTGGCCGCGATAAAGACAATGCGATAACGTTGATATGTTATGGAAGAAGAGATGCGTAAGGAGTAGTACGTTCGATCGAATTAAGGTGACGCGATGCACGCGTCTCAGGAATTAGCGCCGGAGTTTTGCCGATCTCCGGACGAAGCCACCAGCTGCGTGCCATTCCTCCCCACCTTCAACCCAGCAATGAGTCTACTTCTGCTTCCACCGCCGACAGTCAATACGTGTACCACTGAGTCTATGTAGATGGCCTTTTCTCTCCAGCGTTGTCTATCATCTCCCAAAGACTATCACCACAGGCTGCCCAGGTGCAGTCTTACAACACCAGCATCACCGCCGTCATCACACCGGCCGCCCATCCCACCATCCTAGCACTGATATCAGCCCCAGCACTATCCCACGGCGTCTGTTCGTCCGCTACACGGCTTCCCTCCACTGTGTTGTTCGCATTCATACACACGAACTCGACGCTGGTCTGCACCAGATTCGAATCCGGGTCAACAAATCGTCCCAGTAGGACGACTGGAATCGTCTGGCGCGTTAAGAGATCGTACGTCTCATTCGCAGGGGCGTAGAAATTATCGGACGGGCTGACGCCTGCGTTTGTCCCGAACGTGTTGTAATTGTCTGGAATTTGCACCTCCTCGGGCATGTTGTTGTAGGCGCACGTGCTGTTGGTCACGTCTTGACGGACCGTGTCTATGCGAACTTATCAGCTAGATGTACAAAGACCACAGCTCCCGAGCCGCAAGTCAATCGTATCTGTTCTGTGCGGGGGAAGGAAGGAACGTACTGTGTGAACCGCCACTCAACATTGGACACGCCTTCTTGAACTCATCTGATACGGACGAAGTATCTTTACTAGGACAGTAACTCGAGGTATCACTAAGTGCCTTGTTCAGGTGGTCCATGCAGTCCGAGCTGATCACACCGCTACAGCTATTCTCCCCTCCAGCTTCTAACGTCGCATTGATGTTGCTCCACTGATACTTGCAGAGCTCGGTATTGTTGGGCACGTTTTCAGGTACAGAGATGTAAACATGTCCTCTGACATCGTCATAGCGAGATCCGACGAGGACAGAGACATACCACGGGTCGTCGCCGGCGTAGGAGGAGTTCCAAGTAAATTCGTGCTGGCCGGTTGAATTCACGGCAGTGAATTCGTCGAAAAAGCCGCGGCAGGAGGAGTTTTGCGCATTGACGACCGCTGTGGTGAGGAGTCCTGATATCGTAAGGAGCAGCAACTTTGGGTTTTCAGAGGTCCACATATTGACGTAGCATAAGGGTAAAGCCGTAGACGTTTGATCGTTTGGACTTGCGAGACCACATCTATATGTACGTGGCGCGGTTAGGCACCCTATGGGAATGACGCACTAGCCAAGAGTGTGGTTAAAACGGACGCGATCGACAGAGCTCGGCATGCCTTACCCGTCTAAACGAACATTGTGTGGCAGTAAATCCATGTCGCGATGAAGTTAACAATTTGCAATTAACTGCGCTGCGCCGGCGGAGAGCAGTGCCCGTAAGCGCTGGGGCCGAGTCAATCCTGCGCTAACGGATACTCCGACGGCGCAATAGTACTACAACATGAAGGTTTCCCCGCAACAATGCTATACAATACATAAGGAACCACGATACATCGTTGTCTTACACTAGAAGGAGAACAACAACGACAGCAAGAAAAAAGGAAGATATGTCATCCATCAAAACCCAGCAATCAACCTGCTCCTTGCCATGCCGCCTACATCGCTCTTGCGCTTCGGCTTCTGCGGCAGGTCATCGACAATGAAGTCGCCAAGTCCATCTTCATCGTCGTCATCGTCGTGCGCATCCTTCATGTCGTTGGCAACACTCATCTTGACAAAGTTCCTATCGCCTGATGGTGCCTTGTCGGTGCCATTCTTCCTCGAGCGGGAAGCAGCCGCCGGTGCATGCTTGGATTTGGCCTTCTTGGGGGCAGAAGAGCAACCAGAATCGATGTTGTCGCTTGTCTTTCGCTTCCGCTGCTCTTGCTCTTTGGCTTTAGCAGCCTTGTTCTCAGCCTGCTTCTTCTCCCATACCAGCTTATCGGCCTTGACGCGCGCATCTCGTTTCGCCTTCTTATGCATCTCACGGATCGCTTGTTGCTGCTTCGCCTCCGCTTCAGCTCGTTGGCGCTTCACCTCTTGGTTGTAGAGCTTCACTTCGCCCTGTGCAAAGTCGACGGCTCTGAAGCGGCAACCGAGTACCTCCATTAGCTTGGCGTAGGCCTCGTCGTCGATGATCAAGATATTTACGAGGTATGTCTTATCCCCGTTGTCGATCTCAAGCCCTCGAATCTGCGCTTCCTCGAGAAGCTCTTGTTGCTTCATTACCTCGTATGAGGGTTTTGATAGGCGCTTTGGCTCCCTCCATGGGTTGTGCGCAACGGCCATGTACCGATCGATGGCTTGACGCTGTTGCGGGTGACGAGCGACTGCGCGCTGTCGAAGTGATGATGTCGAAGTTGATGTAGTCTCCGAGACGGTACGCTTTCGCGCAGTCGCTGACTTGACCTGGGTTGTATTCTTAATAACGGAGGGTTCCACGCCGTTGATCTCTGCGATGAGCGATGTAAACATCTTGCTAGTGTGAAAGGTTAGCTGAGAAGGTGGAGTGTTTATTGTTATGGCGACTGGAGCGTTGAAAGTAATCCAAGAGGTTCAGAGGCAGTCAGTTGGAAAGGAGAGGCAAGCAGGCGGCGAAGAAGGAAGAGCCTGCATTCATTAGGGAGAGCTCTCACTCAGGTTAGTGGGTGCAGGTGATGTGATACCAAGTCTCTGGAAGTGAAAGTGAATGTACCACGTTCGGAGAGTGCCGCAAAGCACGGAAAAATGGAAAGCGGGGAGACAATTTTCACAGCGTGGGCAATACTATGGTCATCAACGGCATTGTAAGAGGTCTGGTAGTAGCATTGGTTGAGTGAAGACAACTTCGTTGACGAAACTGTGGGACGACTACACCAACACCAATAGGCTTCCTGCGATGACCCCCACAAGCTTCAAAACAAGCGGCTCACCTTCTAGCGCTTGATCTATCACCATCTCAGCATACCACCTGACCTCCCTCCTCCGAAGCGGCGATAGCAATATCCATAACTTCACCTTCATCCTCCTCCTCATACGCCCTACACTGGGCGATCCATGCCCTCCTGTCTTCCTCTTCCTCCACCCTCCTCTGCTCCTTCCCCTCCTTCCACGCCCTCCTCTCCTCAGCCATGAGACACACCAATCTGATCCTCAGTTTCCATTCACTCAAGCTCTTTTCCTCTCCCTCGTCGAGGTGTTCTCGTTTGAGGAGTTCATGCTGCATTTGCAGCACCGTCATTTCGTTCCAGCGCGACAGGCGCGACAGTGTGGCGCCTTGGTGGTAGTATAGTGTGTCTGCTAGATGGTGCAGACTCACTCCGCGGCGCCGTTGTTGCATCAAGATGCGATGTTGAGCGGGGTGAAGCGTCGCGAAGACGGCTTGGAGAGTGCGGTAGGGGAGGAACTTGAAAGCGAGTTTGATAAGCTTTTCGGGTGCAAGTCCGTGGACGGTTGATAGGCGTTGGCAAGACATGTTGTGGTTTTGGGTGGTGCTTGCTTGTGTTGTGAATGTGGTTGCGTGTTGCAAGAAGAGTTTGGAATTGTATGTCTTTGGGCTTTGGGACATGTGTGGATGTAATCGAATGGAAGGATGGAGGAGGCAGGAGATGTGAGTTTATATACTATCTGAAGAACATTGTAGAAGAGAAATGGTATCGCGTGCGTCCCGTGTTTCCTCATCCAAAACATGAGCAGATAGACTCACCCTGACCATATGACCTTGTACCTCTACCAGTAGTAAGTATCCTTATTCCTCTTAAACAGCCAGTCGCAAGACCAAAGAATAATCCAACATATCCAAGTGGCACTTTAAGCGAGCAAAGCACATCAGTGCCAGACACGCAGTGACTCACAATGCGTAGCATTGAGTCAAAGTGAGGATCGTTATTTGGTTCAGGCTCCTGCTACCGGACAATGACTACAGTCTGGCAGTGACTGGTCTACTTTGCTAAGGCTGACACACGGTTCACCATGCGAGACCATGGTTGCCAAAGGAATGTAGTCTTCGTGTATCGCACTGAGTTTTTCGGAAAGGTAACCTATAGAGCTGCTGCCAATATTGATGTTCAGCGCAAATGTGCTCTCGGTCATTACCTCCGTACGCGAACAGACCACCGCTCGAGCTTAGCGAACTGAGATTGCAATCACGAGGCCTATCCTGCAGCCTGTTCTCTTGCTATCTCTAATCACCACAGTCTGGTAGGAGTACGCTGATAGGTGTTGACCAATTCTATTGCGAGGTCAAAGGAATCCAATGCTGGGTGGGAGCCGACAATTATTTTTCGATTCCTCCGGACCCGGTGTTTCTCTTTTGTCAGCAAACATTCATCTGGAGAATGCACCCAGGAATACCAAAGTCAAAGTCTTTACTGACCTCCATGTAGCAGTCTAATGCAGCGGATGTGGGTGGCCGCGTCGAATGCTGTCAATCGTCGCTAAACCACTGGAGATATTCCTTGACTTATCGTGGTTCCGACTATCGCCTTTTGACATCGGAAGCATTTCGCTTAGAATGTAATGTATGGGTCGCATGCCGCCAGACGTGCTGTAAGTTCCGCGAAGTCGGATAGCTGCTGTCTGCCAACCGTGGTACGCCCGAGCGTCGGCAAATTTTGCTCTTCGTACATGAGGCTGTCTGTTCTCTTCGAACGTTCGGAAGCGGTGGTAATGCGTGTGACCGGCCCAGATAAGAAGATAGGAGAATGCGTAGTGATCTATCGTGAGATTTGTCACTTTGCTGTGCTGTCAGCGCTTCCATTCTTGGAACGCAAATCATACGTCTTGTCAACTGCTATAAAACGCCTTTGTGCATGTTTCCTCGCGGCTTCTTCTTTCCGTTCCGCTTCTTTGCGTTTAGCGTCGAGACGTTCTTGTTCGAGAGCTTTGAGATACTCTGCCTTTCTGAAAGCTGAGGGCCAACCATACTCTTTCAGCAAGCGCTTGGGTAGCTGTTCATTTGCTTGATGAGTCTTCCGGTCACGTTCGCCGAGAGGATCGCACTCACCTTTGCATTGTTGTCTCGATGATCCACCATCTCGTTGTACCATGCATCGCTACCTCGCGTCAATGGTACAGGAACGGTGACCAAGGTTTCGATCTCGTCGTAGAGCTCGTCGAAGTACTGCTGAACCTCTCGAGGCTTTGCGGCCTGCCGCCAAAACTGGTCATCTGGTGCACTACGGTCTACAATGAACGGTCCCATGGGCCAGATTATCCCTAGTGAAACCTGTCAATATCCGGTGATGCACGTTGTATGCGACTCATACCTTGGTCCGTATCTATCATCCACACTGTCGCTTCGTTGCCCTGGCTCAACGGTATCATTCCAGCAGGTATTTCCTGCCCCTCCCCGCATGGCGACATACGCCTGATGGCCTTCTTTTTGTCCGCATCTTTCAGCCAGCCATAATTGCGAAGGTAATTGCATGCTTCCGTTACAATATAGACCTCGTATTTAGAGTCACCCATATTCTTGCTCAGATAAGGCAAGTGACGCAAGAGATCAATGACTCGGTCCGACCGTTCCCACTCTTGTAATGTGTCAACAGCGAGCTGCTCATCACTCCAACCTTCAGGCGGCGGGCGGAGGATCGTGTCCGAGTCGAGGTAGGCCATTCGCACGAGCAAATCATAGTGCCTCTCGATGCAACTGACGACTACATCGCGATCGTAAGGCATGGTGTGGATGATGGGGTTGTAGTGTAACGCTAGACGACTGGAACGTGGCTAGATCAGTTCTACCCGTGGTCCGCCTGAACATCGGCAAAAGTTGCCGCCGACGACCTCGGTCTGTTTGTCCTGTTTGCACGCGCCGGCCTAACTTTATGGCCAGACAGCAACACTGAAACACTCCAACTCATACGACAACATACGCCCAACTCTCTCCAAGCTAATCGCAAAACAATTAAACCACTTTCACGGAGCCGCCATATCGCCGACATCCTCGAAACCGTCCCTTTCGCCGAAACCACCAGACCAGCGGTCAACGCCGCATACAAACGGGCCTCACGAGCGGGCGGACAAGACACAGGGAGAACAACATGGGCGGCTACTTATCGACGTTTACAAAGCTGATATGGGCGAAGAAGGAGATACGGATATTGATTCTGGGGCTGGTAGGAATACCTCAGCATGGCCAGTATGGGAGGCATGGCGCTGATTACAAATGCAGGATAACGCTGGAAAGACGACGCTACTATACAGACTGAAGGTATGCGATATCCAAGGAGGAAAGAAAGGAGGCATGCGAATATGGAAACAATATGCATCCTAGGTCTGGACACGAGGTATACGGAGGCTAACAACCCCTCCAGATTGGCGAGGTAGTCACAACGATACCAACAATAGGCTTCAACGTCGAATCCGTCACATACAAGAACCTCAATTTCAACGTCTGGGTAAGCCCACCTCATACCTTCCCCCATCAACAGCCACCATCTAACACCCCACCCCCCCAGGACCTCGGCGGCCAAACCTCCATCCGCCCCTACTGGCGCTGCTACTACGCCAACACCGCCGCCGTAATCTTCGTAATCGACAGCACAGACATCGAGCGCCTGACCACCGCCAGCGAAGAACTGCGCGCCATGCTCAACGAAGAAGAGCTGCGCGACGCCGCCCTCCTCGTCTTCGCAAACAAACAAGATCAACCGGGTGCAAAGGGCGCGGGCGAGATCAGCGAGGCGCTCAAGTTGGGGGAGCTCAAAGATAGGAATTGGAGTATCGTGGCTTGTAGTGCGGTGGATGGAAGGGGTGTCCAGGAGGGTATGGATTGGCTGGTGGGGAATGTTGGGGAGCAGAGTTAGGAGGGGACGGAGGGGATATGAGGATATACGTGCGATGGGGATGAGGATGAGACGGGAGCGGGGACATATGACGCGGCACATACGCGTCAGAACGGATTATTATACCAGCATAATGGCGTCTCGGCGCTAGGGTTGTGAATACAGGGTAGGGAGTCAACGTCAGTAATTGCATGCGCGTTCTTGATGTGGATGGAAATGGAGCTGCATTATATCGTGTGACGACGCGTCTAATAAACCTCCCACGTCAGATCTCTACCTGGTCTCAGCCGCCCCTCTGTCCAATCCTTGCCAAAGACGTACGCGCTGCTGATCTCCTCTTCGTCGATGCCCAAGTGATCTTCGCCATCTCTTCCTTGGAACCAGCCCAACGCGTACGTCTTCCCACTCTTCTCGAGGTGCTTCGTCATTTCCCTTGAATTCAGCTTTTCCGTGTCGATGAAGCTAAAGAGCATCTTGGACTGGTGGATGAAAGCGAGGACAGAGGCCATGGTGCCGATTTCTCTGGGCATGAACTTTTGACTGCGCCTCGCGTAGGTGAGAAGAGCGATGCCGATGAGATAAATCAGGATGAGCATGGTGAGCGTTAAGCTCGACCAGAAACTGCGAAAGGTTTGCTCCGTGTTATAACGATCAGATGCATCGTCGTTGCTGCCGTCGTGGTCGTCATCAGACTTTTGGCCGCCGAATCCGGGCATAAATTTGTTGCCATCGACGCTGATTGAGGTTACGCAGACCGTTAGGATCTCCGCAAAGATGGAGCCAAAGGCGACGAGCATGACAAGGTAATGCCCATTGAAAAAAGCTTCGAAGGGCAGCCAAAGAGGATTCGTACCAGCATAGTCGAGTGTAAGAGTCTTGGCTGGGGCGTGTCGCAGAGAAAGGATGTAGAAAGGTTGAAGCATGCGAACGTCGCTATTTATGGTGTTCCAGAGTATGCGGATGACAGTTGCTAGGCCCGTCATCATCCAGGGTACCTTCTGTGTGGCTCTACTCATCGCCTTGACGAATGTGAAGACTGGCACCGCAACAGTGAACAGGATGAGAAAGCCGATGAAAGGCACGCCCGCCCAAAGACGAAGCATGAGCGGCCTGGGATCGGAGCCGTGCTCGGGAATCTTTTCCTTGCTCTTCGTTATGTATTCTCCTTGCCAAAGTGAACTTTTGTGCAAGATGTATCTTCGTTGGCGAAGCTGCTTGTGTATCTGAGGCAAAGAAGCCTGGTCGAGCCCCTTGAAGTCTGTCAGAATATGGCTTTTCGTAGCCATAGCTGCGATACCTGCAATGCCTTTGGGGTCCGACTGCAGGCCGCTCTTCCTCTGCATTGCGTACATCAGCGCTCCTCCACAGGCTGCAACTATCAAAAGGCACGCCGAGAGCGCTCGGGACCAGGCCGGTTCGACTCTCACAGCCTTCCAGCCATTAAGTTTACGGTCCTTTTCTGGTGGCCACATAGTCATAGAGGCACTCTGCAAGACAGGTACAAGGCTACTAGCGACCAATGTACCCAGCGAGCTGTAAATGACGGCGTACTGTCTGTGACGCAGTGCTCTTAGCGGTACTAAGAAGCTCAAGAAGGTGAGATAGTCCATGTTAAGCGATTCTCCCGCAGTTGCGCCTGTCTTCTTGGATAGCTGGTAGAATGGCTCCAGACGTTTCACCTCGAAATCCGACATTTGCCAGAGGACGCCGTAAAAGACTGAAATGATGATGGGCGCGTACTGCCAGGTGAAATATTGCGTGACAGTCAAGTCGCCAACTTTCACGAAATGCCACAGCCCGCCTTTCTCAGAATCCGCTTTGACATGGCGTAAGGAAATTTGGCATAAGTATTCTTGTACACCAGCGAGTACAAGTGCAAGGACTGTGAGCATAAGAATCCACCACGAGCTCATAGTAAGGGGTCGCCATGCAGGCATCTGGGGATCTGCATGCGTGTTAGATCCTAAATCTCGACACAGTGTAGGGGGAACTTGCCTTCAGGAAAGAAGTAGCTAGTCTGTGCACTACTGCTGATGAGACCGGCCTCGGCGGTCAGATTTCTCATAGAATCGAAGTCGCGAGCAACTCCTGTGAATTCGCTGATATCGACTGGGACATCTGCTGCAACAGCAACGACTTTGCCGGTATTTTCAGCCTCATCTTGTGCCTTTTTGGCCTGTTCGTCTACTACATCTGCTCTGGACAGGATTCGTCGGTGACCTGGAAAGAAGCCTGGTACTGGTCCAGCTGGGGTGTGCTCAAACGGAACATGGAGCACAGACGTCATTCCAGCTCCGAGTTGCGCCTCGAGACGCTCAAATTCTGCGGCGTGACTAGCCTCATCCATGTCTCTGTCACGCTCTTGCCCTTCGTGTATGTCCTGTGTCCGCGATTGCGCCTCGAATGTTTTTAGCGGCAGACCACCTAGCGAGCTCAGGTCATATCCGACTGCCTCGTCCCCCTCGTCGACTCCTACAAGCCGTCTTCTGCCGGGTTGTGATTCCTCATCATCCAGTCGGTTGTAACGTCCCCCATGAGAGGCTCCCCTGTGCAACGATGCGATTCGGTCGAGGACCCGTTTGGTCCTACTGTTGCTCTTGCCCAACGACGGTGATGCGCGATCTTGAGTAAACACGCTCGCGACAGGGTTGTATGACGTTTCTTGGGCAAACGAGGGCGGCGCCGGAGCGCGTGGTATGCGATACGAGGGTTCTGCGGCCGGTAGCAGAGGCGAGGGAAACGACTGGCGTCTTGATGCAGGGGTGCTGCTAGGAGATGCGATTGAGGCGACTGAGGACGGTCGGGACGGAAAGAGTTGCGAGAGCCTGTCGGAGGCGCCAGACGTGTTCTTGCGACGCAGTGGTGGCCGAGCGTGGATGGGTGGGGCATCGCCAGTTGTTGGAGAGCCAACGCGCAAAGCAGAAGGAACTGTGATATCGGTGGTTCTCCTACTGTTCGGGGAGCCCACCTGAAGGGGCGATGGTACTCCTTCTACGAATGGTGACCGCATTTCGTTTCGAGTATGCGCGGCGTGCGCTCACGTTCTTGTACTAAACAATGATGTTTGCAATGTGTAGCGACCGTAGGACGAAAGCGAACGAAGTCAAAGGAAAGAGAGAAGCCACAAAAAGAGGCGGGAAATCACCAAATCGCACAAGATGTTGCACGAGGCTGGCGGTACCTTGCAGCCTATGCGTTGCACCGGTCAGCCTGGTTCCATCACACCAATATGCGCCCACGGATGCTTTCGCCCTACTCAGGCAGGAAAAGCTGCTCTAGTGCGGCACACCATGTGCAGTCCAGGCGAAGCGAACGGCTGTCGTGAATTCAAGCTCGCCGTGCCTTTGATTTGCGCTGGCGTCGCGGGGCTTGACGAGCCGCTCAGCCCTGTGCTGATCAACCCGCGTAACTCCAGATTGAAGGCTGATAGCCTGATGTTCGATGCCAGAAAGACGGCGTTGCGCAAAGGCGTCAGTAGCGACGAAGGAGCTCAGAATGTTGAGCGTAACGATAGAGAATGCATTGCTTTACAAGCTGCAGCAATGCCATCACAACAATCGACCGGTCAGAATTTGGGGGCCAGCTGAGCTAAAAATACGGCGCTGTGCCGCTGCGGTCGAATGGCGTTCGAGTCTCGCCTGGCATTGCCGTCTGAGGCATGCCGGTGGCTTGCGATGGGGGCCAAAAACATCGTCATATCGTGTTGGGCACAACGACGGTCGCACGACGAAATACAGATTCGACGATGTTGGTGTTGAGCAGTTGGAGAAAGAGGGATCGGACTCGGAGCTTGAGGAAGCTCCTCTGATCGGCCCCGCTAGGGACGTCACGTGGACGTCCTTCTGGGCATGCGCTGACGGTGACAGCAAACCCTCTGAGGCGACAACAACACCAGATCACCTGGCGAGGCTGCGCGACGACACTCCCGACTGTACGCAATACATGTACAACGGCTGTTTGTTCTTTGAGGATCGTCAGGGACTGAATGGTCGCACCACCGTTTGCACCACAGACACGCGCACGCATCTGGCGACACGTGGTGTTGTACACGGACGACGTTCTCAAAGGGATCAGAATATGCTCAATTGGCTAGCCAAGATGACTATCGTACGTTGCAGGCTTTACTTCGGTCGTCTGCACAAATGGCTCATCTCACTCAACATTACCTCTTGCGCATCTGCAGCATCGGTCCCTTCCTGCCGGCCACGAAGATGTCGTAAATCTGGTATTGATCCTCCGTCTGTCGCCCAGGCTTCCCGTTTCGATTGCCTCCACCAAGTCTGTTCTCTGGATCAGGCCGAACCTCGTACATCCAGAGTGTCTTGGCAATGACAAGTCGCATCTCCAGCCAGGCAAGGTTCTTTCCAACGCAGCCCCTGGTTCCATATGAGAAGGCACAGAAACCATTCTCCGCCAATGCCACACTCTCAGCCGAAGATCCTTCCTTTCCAGTCTCGTCTACGATCCAGCGCTCAGGGCGGAACTTGAAGGGCTCCGGGAAGACATTCTCGTTGTAGCTGAGACAGTAAAGACCGGTGCTGACGTGGAGGCCAGCGGGGAAGTAGTGATCGCCGACTGTTGTTCCGCCAGGGAGTACCTCACGGCTGGGCTCTGCTGCGACTGGTGGTGTCATGCGCATAGCTTCTTGAAGAAACGCAGTGAGGTATTTGCAGGACATGATCTTGGTACCAGACTTGATCTCGTCATAGCTTGAGAAGACCGACTTGACCTCTTCAGCAATCTTAGCCTGTACCTCCGGTCGACGAGCCAGGTAGAAGAAGGCGGCAGACATTACGACGGATGTCGTATCGGAACCAGCAATAGTCAGCAGCTCGCACTCAGCGAAGAGTTCGTGCTCGCTATAGCCACGCTTGCCAGTTTCGGGGTCGACAGCCTTGAAGAGCCAGTGAAAGAAGTCTTTCCGGACCTCACCCTCAGGCTTGGGACTCTTCTCCAATTCGTGTTCGACCGCGGACCGTTTCTCAAGGCATCCTTCAACGAAGTCCTGCCACTTCTTGACTACTGGCGGTGAGGCGACCTCCAGAAGCTTGTCGAGCCCACGAGGCTTCATCCATACCCAAGCGTTGGCTAACGGGCCGAATGCAATCTTTGGAATGTCAGCATGGTCGATCAATGATCTGATGCAGGGGACTAACTGGATGAAGAATTTCCATGAATTGAACCATGACTTCGGGGATGTGGCGGAGATCGCTTCCAGGCTCCTTCATGTCAAAGTTCTTACCGAAGCACAAGTCACCAAGGATGTCGAAAACGAGCCAGTTCATCCAGTCACACATGTTGATAGAGGTCGTCCACTCGCCAGACTTTGGCGCTTGTTGACCAATCAGCTCCAGCCAACGATCGATGTTCGCGTGAAGGAAGACCTCAGCATCTCGCAGCGCCGCCTCTGAGAAAGCGTAGTTCAGCACACGACGCTTGCGCGAGTGCACCTCAACACTGGTCGTGCTCCATGTGTTGACAGTGTGGACATTGCGTGGCCACACTTCGTAGTAGAGGCTTTTTTTAACATTGCCCTTTGGTCCAAAGATCTTCCTGAAAGCAGCAGGCGTGTTGAGCACGACACTGTCTGGACGATACCGGAACTCGGGTCCTACCAATCGTTAACAACTTACTGACTCTGGGGATGAAATCAGGCCACCATACCATACTTCTCCTGCAGACTATACAGCCAAACGTGTCGGTCGCCAGTACGAGTATGCCACCATGACGGGAACACAGTCAAGCGGGCCCAGAACGGCCCCGGGAACGCCGCGAGTGGATGGAAGTAGAGGCGATAGATTCCAGTAACGATTACGTAGGTCGATACTAACAGAGCTGACAACACGAGAAGCCCTGGGTATGACCCATTGCCTTGGATATCTGTAATTGCCATCATGCACCTGGCTTATTCAGAGAAGAAGGAAAGTTTGACAGGAATCCGAAAGCGAAATGCAGAGCGTGGGGCCTCTTTTACGCCTTTCCATATGCTCGCCGACTTTGCAAATCGCACATGGTTGAACCTGACGTGCTCCGCGGCATCTGAACCCTCACGGCTCCCAAATTAGTGCCCGTTGATTGGTCTCCTAAGACCTTAGGTCGCTAACTAGCAGCCGGGGCACCTGTCAGAAACGACTCTGAAATGTGGAGTTTTGCTTCTCGGCTGGGCTAAGAAAGGACCGATGGCGAGCCGCACCTCCCGCACCAGCTATCCATAACACATACTTTGACTATCAAACAGCTACTGATGCTTACTGAGCGACGCCACTATCACGATACATCACTAACTTTTTGTTTTACTGGTTGTAATAAGCCCGCATATCGCGTTCCTCGCATCCACGTGGAAGATGGCGCATGTGCCGGCCGCCCTCGAATAGGTGGGTCTCTCGCTAAGCCCCATGGGACTTTCACTGCATTTACCCTGGTCAGGTTTGAGACAATAACTTGATGGGCCTCGACAGGGTCTATACGGCTTCTCGACTCGTTGTTGCACTACTAAAACTACCAAGACGACGGCGTGAGTCCCTCTCGCTCCCACGGCACAGCATAGCGTGTGAGGGTCCTTCCGCTTCCGCGACCCATGCCGTTGCATGCAAGGCGTATGATTGGCAAACGGTGATTGCCCTCCAACGAGAGCTTAGCACGTTTTGGTTCCTACGCCGCCACAAAGCTTGCACACACGTTTGCGGCTTGCGCCCCTACCAGATGCCCTGCAAATTCGTCATGGTAGGATTCCGGCAATGCACGACATCCACAGGAACGAACGCCACAAAGCAGACGCAGTGCGTGTTCATCCGAGGAGCTGCAAGGCGTCTGATATCTTCATCGCTTATGTCCGCCATCGATTGGTTCGTAATCCATTGCCGAAGCCTCATTTCTGACTCGCAACGGACGGCCAAGCTAAACCGTTTACGGCCAAAACGACGGCCAGGCACATGCGCTCAACACCAGGAAGTGGGATGATCTGCTCGAGTCGGCCATTTAGAATAACGCACAGCTCGGAGTTTATCCTGCCACGGCTACCCCGGAGGATTTTGATCGACGAGCGCAGTGATTGTCGGTTTGGGTACACACGCAGACGGCAGACTCGACCCCGCGGCGACAGATAAACAAATACGTTCTTATTTCTTTTTTCGCAAGATGCAAAAATCTACCCCTCTCATACTGATCATTCGTCTCAAGCCGCGACGCGCTTGCTGAACGAGAGGGCGTGCGATGCAGGCGTAGATTGAAGTCTTGCATAATTGAAGTGGAGTGACTTCCCATTTCGTTCCCGCGTAGCACGACGCCGTCTCCGTTGGGAGCGAGTGCCGGATCATCCCCCACCCACTCACATGTGAAGACGAGGGACCCTTCAGGCCGACCAGGACCCCCTAACCTGTAACTGACGATCCACTTCCCAGATGCTCCCCGTGTGTCAGTGCCTCGCTTCTTGACTTTATGCTTTGCCCAACAGCTCCAGCATGTCGGATTATTACTTCTCTCTGCCGGATGCTGCGATGGCCATTGGCTGATGCACAGCTAAACAAGCAAGTAAACCGTCATGGGTTTGAAGGGTTGTGATTTACAGACCTAAAGGGGGTCTCCCGCGACCGGGAGCGGCGGTAGCGGTAGGTGGATTGGGAACATCTGGGGAGTTCTGGTCAGGGCGTCTGCATGGGAGGTGAGGAAAGGTTTTTCTTTCCTTCTGGGCATCGCGTGTCTTGTGCCGTGTTCTTGTTCCTGATATATCATGGGTGCGTGTCTCGCGTTTTCCATGTGAGGGTTTCGTGCATCACCGTCAACGCCACTGCGACGTCTTGTTTCTCGCTGTTTGTGATATACCTGGTGTATACGCCGTCGAGGATAGGAAAGAGAGTGTGTATATGAATTGTGCATCATGGCGCCTATCATCGATCCACAGGAGAGCGTGTAAGTTTGTTCGGGAGTGTCTACTCGCCATCTCTTCGTTCTCTACCCTTTCCATACCCAGTCTCCGTGGTCCTCCGCGGTTCACCCAACCCATGTCTTATCACGACCAGAAAACAGTGTCTTGGGTAACTTGCAGCTGACATTCTCTCCAGCCAATCCTACCGCCGTCGTCTCGATGGAGTGGCGATATCGACTTATATCTTGATCATGCTGCTTGTCCCCCTCAAGGTCTACTGTCGAAAACGGCACGGGGGATGGCGCAATGTTCAGATGGACGACTACATGTCCATGGTGGCACTGGCTGTGGCCAACGGCTTCTTCTACGTGTGCATAATAGGTACGCATCTTTCATCCTGGGACACGAATCGTAGGCTAACACAGTGCTTGCAGGCATGCGAGAGTCACTGGGGCTACACATCAATGAGATCACGAACCCGTTGCAAATCATTGCTTTCTTACGGAACATCTACATCGGCCAGATCCTGTATACGCTCAGCATCACAAGTATCAAGCTATCGGTTCTCGCTTTCTACTGGCGGCTCTTCGAGATCAAGTCCCGCATTACCATCTATGTGGTCACCGCCGCATCCATCGCATGGTGTATCGCTATCGTAAGTCATTTATCGCAAGAACACTGACACCCTCAGCGCAATATGCTGACAGTACCGCTTCACAGATGCTCTGCGTAATCTTCAACTGCCTCCCCGTCCGAGCTGCATGGGACATAACCATCACGCAAAAGACCTGCATCGAAACCCGCGACATCTACCTCGGCGGCTCCGTACCCAACGTAATCCTCGACTTCTTCATCGTCATCATGCCCATCCCGCACGTCTGGCGTCTGCACGCCCCCCTCGCCCAACGCATCGTTCTAGCCGGCATGTTCGCGCTCGGCACTTTCATCGCCGTCGTCTCGCTCGTGCGCCTCATCATCTTCCTGCAAATCCCCATCTCAGCCCAGGGCGACGTGACCTACAACTTCCGCGAGATCATCGTGTGGTCGATTGTTGAGATCAACATCGGTCTCACGTGTGCTTGTTTGCCTAGCTTGAAACCGGCTTTCCGCTGGATCGGCCTCGATAAATTGTTCTCTTTTGCTTCTTCGCGGCCGAGCGATATGAAGAGTCCGGGTCCGAGCTCGAATGGCGGCCTGGATGGGTATATGCATGACTCGAAGAACTCGGGTGGCAGGCACAGGAAGAAGGGTGCTACGGGTGGCTTGTTCTCGACGCTCGCGGGTATGAGTCGGTTGGAGGATGAGGAGGAGTTCAAGTTTGTTGGGGAGGATACACAGGGGAAGCACAATGTGGAGATTGAGATGGGGAGGGTTAGTGATGATAGTGCGCAGAGGACCGCGACGGGTGGGATTAGTGTACAGAAGAACTGGAGTGTGCTGGTTGATGAGAGGAGGGTGGGTCAACACCGGTAGTAACAGGTGGAACACATAAGGAGGTGTTTTGTACAAAAAGAAAAGGTTGGATATATGGGTACATTAATTACACGACGAATAACGAGGTCATGTTATATACATCTTGTCATGTTAACAAGCTAGATTGTTACGCTCGTCTGTTGGGGATTCTAAGCTTGAGTGTTTCACGTTTGTTGTTGCCTGCGTTGGTGTCGGTGAAATGGATACAGTGAAGGATAATTGCACGAATGCGATGCCTGCGGAAGAGCTGGAAGTCGCGAGGCGCGAAGTATGGGGTATCACAAAACGCTAATCCACGACAGTCTCGAACCCAATCTCCAGCTCAATCGAGCGGTGCGAAGGACCACAAGGGAATCTTCTTGCCCTCTGCAAAATACCCAGGGTACGTCGGTAGGTCATCTCGGATTCCTTGGATCCCCGATCGATGCGCACCCTTCCGTCCATGGACATATCTTCGGGCAACTGGAAGATGAGGAAGCTGCAGTCGGCTTTGGTCTGATTGCATATGAGACCGAAGAAGTCTTCACATGTTGTTTCCTTTCCGGTGAACATCAAACTGCCGTAAGACCAAGTCGGTCCAGGGCCGATTGGCTGGCCCGGTGGTTTGGTGCGATAAATTCGTAATTCAACTTTAAAGGGCGACGGCTCGGGTGAATGCGCGCTTGTCCGGCGGGTCGAACATCCTATCTTGGTGCCCATCACCGAATCTCTAGACGTATCGGAGTCATCATCTGTTTGGTCTTCCTCGGAACGTGCGCGTTGAGGAGCGGGTTCGTCTGCTGTTGTAGTCGTACCAGTGCTGCGTCTCTTCCTCACTGGTATTTTCTCGCTTAGGGCTACGAATCTGCAACCTTGAAACCAAGGCTTATTATCGATATTTAGGTCTCTTTTCTGGTATGTCAGGGCTTTCATGTATATCCTGTTTATAAAGGTCTCTATGTCGGTGCGATACTGCCTGCAGAGAATCATGCCCAGTAGGTGTTTCTTGATGCTGGTTCCATTAGCTCGCACCCAGTACCTGGATAAGCGGACTTACGTGGTACTGTCTCTCGGATAGATCAAATCAGCCGGATATCGGGTGCCCTCTTGTGGTTTTCGGAGATGGTCTCTACTTCCTTGACCAGGCTCAGGCCAGATCAGGGAACCATACTCGACTAACAGCTGGTCTAGCTCTTTATCGAGGAGCATGGGATCGTATCGATTGATGACAGTATTTGCATCGTGTGCATTGCGTAGTAGTAGACCAAGCAGAGCCGGGACCTCGAGTTCGTAGAGTGCAGTGGCGGGTTCATACCTGAACACTGGTTTTCTCATAATGAAGCTCGGGTCAAATCTCTCCCTCCCATACGTCTGAAGTCCAAGAGATTCTATATGATGAGAAACGCCGATTGCGCCTTTTTGCCGCCCCATTGTTGGGTATAGTGGTGATTTGATGGACAAAAAACCGCTTGCCAATTGTGATGTGTACACCGCAGCTGGCGACGTCGGTGTCAAGCGGTGAGAGCTTGCGAATAGATTCCGGACGTGGTGGTGATGGAGTGGGCAGCGGTTTAATGCAA